TGAACACATTTTCTTGGAAACAAGATATCTGCACTTGCAAGAAGCTTTAAACAATTGATGGCACAAGTGTAAAGCAATTATTAATATTAACTCTGAAAATTCTAGGCTCATTTAGATCCCTGGACCCTTGTTCTGAATCAGTCCTGATCACTAATGAGTTTAATGAAATTGTCTCACTTTTCTCTTAAGTGCAATGTGACATTCCAGTCAGCTGTTCAGGAAACAGGTTTTACAGGATTGTGCTTTAAGTTGTTCTTCTCCAGCAACATGGGGACCAGTTGCCTCACTGCTGTCTGTTTCTGTTCTCCTTTTCATTTCCCTCAGGGGCAGGCACACTTGGCCTCCCTTGCTGTTTAGTAAGAAGTCTCTTGCTATTTCTGAATGTTTGAGGAAGTGTCTGCCTTAAACATGAATTATGAGAAGGGGCATGAGCAAACTGTCACTGCCTCATCCCAAGTGTTTTGCTTGTGTTACTTCTGCTACATAGAAGATGGAAAATACTAGTTTTCCCTGGTTAAGGCTACAAGCTGAGTTCAACAAGGCTCATATGAAAAGCTTTTAAGAGTTATCCCAGTTGCTTCGTGTGTTTCATGTGTGCAACTGTTTCATGTGACAACAACTAACAATTACCTGATTGTTTCCTTAAAATATATTCTGTGCTTTTGTGGTTTAGAGGTGCTGCAAAGACACTCAAAACAATGAGATTTCATTGAAACAGTGGATTATGAGGACTGTGAATAGAAAAACAAAACACTTTCATACAAAAGGGGCCATTAAAAAGTACTTATTTAATGAAATGAACTTTTATATTTAAATTTCATTCTAGATTTATAGTATGTTTCTGTTAGTCTGTATTGGAAGGAATTTGTCCAGCATGATGTGAAGCAGAAAGGAAACATTTCACTGCTCATTCTAATTTGTCATAGATTTGCTTGAATCCTGAAAGACTTTATGCTGTAAGACAAACTATAAATTGTGCTTATGCATGACATGAGAAGCATCAGCTGTGGCCTGCTGAGTTTGGGAATAGCAGACCTCTGGGACAACAGCTTACAGTGCATAAATAAACATTATGTTACCACTGAATTTTAAACCAAAACAAGTTTTCTCCGGACTGTTTTCCTAATACTGAGCACATAAATATGGAAGATGGGGCTTTTACAATCTTTGTCAGCAGTATGAAAATTGATCAGCCTGGTTTCCCATTTTTTTCCTGCCTTGTGCCATGACCTGTTCTTGTTCTGGATCCATAGGCTCTTCCAGTGCTTCTGTCTTCCTCTGCTGCCCAAACAAACAGCTTGGGTCGCTCAGACCTGGCCCAGTGTGAGCACAGTGAAGCACTCGGAGTGGCAGTGGAGCAATGCAGTGTGGGGGGATAAGGAGGAAAGATGTCAGCCATCTTCTTAGCTCTGCTTTGTGTGAAATTGTTATCCTTGTAAGTCCTGACCAGGGTACAAGAAGAAGATAGAAGGAAGCAGAGCCTACTTTTGTTGTCTGTTCATCAGTTTCAGCCCTTCAACAGTCTCAGTGATCTGCAGTTGGTTGTTGTTTCAGTTATACCTGATAGTTTCAGAGAAGAGGAAACCAACAGCGTGCCACAATAGAGATTTCTGCTCTTGATTGCAATGGAGAGGTAATTGTGATCATCTTGCAGTGTCCTAGGAATGATTTCAGAGTCCCTAGGTCATACTTCCAAGGTCTCCTAAGAAAGCTGACCCCCATGCTTCCACATCTCCTTGGAGGCTAGTTGCTGCACAGATTGAAGGTGTTGCGGATGGAAAGGGTTATACTGTGGAGTCCCTGAAAGCTCGTTGTGAAAAGTGCCAAGGAACATACCCCTTGAATTTATATATGACTTGTGTAGAGTGTGAAGAGGTTGGAGCAGCCAGAGAGAATGTCTCACTAACTTTAGTGGCCAGACAAGCTTTCACCTTTTCAACTACTTCCTCTTCTATAACAAAATATTTTGGAATGTAAATAAGATATAGGCATGAATTCATAGGATGAATTTTTAAAAATATTCATCCACCACCACCATCTCTCTTTTGGCATCACTTTTGTGATGTTCTGGTCCAAATAAGAATCTGATTTTCCAGCTAAATCAATAGGTCTCATGAAATATCATAGCACTCCCTTCCCCCAAAAGAGTTGCACACTACTTGTGTAATAGTTCTTGGAGTCTGTATCACCAGGTGACTAGAGGGCTAGTGCTGGTACAGATGAGCTTAGACCCTAATAAAACAAGCAGTGCAAAAAAATCACTGGGGAAGTTTGGGAAATGCTGATCTGAATGTCAGAATAACATCTCTGGGAAAAGGGTTGCTTTTTCCAAGCAGGAAGTGGTTTGGAAGAAAGTGGTGTTGCCATGTGAACGGGACATGCAGCATTATCTCCGTGAGCTGGTGTTTAATAGCTTGTGGTTTTCATACTTTTTATTTGAATGACTGTGTTGCAAAAGGTTCTTCTTGCACCTCAGTAGGTATTGAAAAATGGGGAACAAACTTGTTCTGCATCCACTAAGTTTTGTTAATTTGAGGGGAATTGCATTTCAGAAAGTAGACTATTAAATTTGTAAGGCCAAAATATTTTGTAACTGTCTTGTTTTATTATTACTGGATAGACTGCTGTCCATGCGCGTGAAGGCAAATCAGAAGCTGTAGGAGATTTGAAAGGCTATCTACAAAGTTGATTGTTTCCCTTCAAGGTCTTTCATCCTTCTTCTTCTCTCTGCTTCTATGCCTTTTTTATTTTTCATTTGATTTTCCTATCTTCTTTTCTCCCTTTCTTGTGCTCACATCATGTGGTCTTTTCAGACAAGCATCACAGAAAAGCTGTTTTTTGGATTAACAGTCTCCACTTTTTTATTGAGTGGCCTGTAACAACTAATGTGATTTGCACTTCCTGTATACAGCTTTCTATTATTAGACCCTTCATACTGGGACTGATGTGCAGGTAATTATTAGTCAGCAGTGGGGCTGCTAATTATGTAGATTAATTGATCATTTCAGTTGGGTTTGTTGTCTCCAAACATGTTTGTGATTAAAGCAAGGAAAATCACTGCCTGACTTACTGTTAGCGAATGAGTGTCTCTAGAATGATGTGCCACCTTGTATGACTCAGGTGCCTGGTTACTAATGCTGAGCTCTCACACCCAGAGCTGAAGTAGGAGTGCTATTCCTCCTGTCATCAGGAATCATTCATCTCAGGCAGTTCCTTGACTGCTGCTGAGTACTACAGTTCCTGGCCAGATTATTGTCAGGATGAACTGGCTAGTCCTTACAAAATAACCCTTCTGTCGCTAGCACGTGTCCTGTTCCTTTGATGCAGGAATCTATTCTTCAAACTTCTTAGTCCCCACAAACTCCTTTGAGTTTTCCGTATCTAGCTGGAATCTAGCCAAGATCTTTCTGTTTAGCAGTACTAGAGGAGCAATGTGGTTATGGTCCCTGGAATTTGTTCAAAAGCGGGTTGAAAATCCAGGGCTAAAAACAAATGTAGGGTCTCTGTGCTTCATTAATTAATGTCTTTTTTACTGGTACCTGCCCTGTAAAGTGTGAATGGCTGATGAATGACAGAGAGCAATGCCTTAGCTGGAACAGAGACGTGTCCCTTTTAGAGCTGAAAGCCAGAGGAACATGTTCACTGTGTGCCAAGCAAAACACCAGAGATGAAGGCATTCCATAAGCTGTAAGTTTGGTTCAGTGGCATTGCTTCTTAACAGGTTGTAAGCTGCTGCTGATCCCAGCAGGCAAAAGGGAAAAAGCAAAAGAGGAGTGTGCACCAGTTGATATGGACCTTGCTCAGGAATAGTTCAGCTTTTAAAGGCTTTTTGTTATCAAGCTGTAAGAAAGCTGCTTTGTGCCCTAAATAAAGACATGACCAACTTCCCCTCACTCTCTCAGGTGGGTAAGAGAAGTTCTTTCATCCTTGTTCACTGCATTCCTCAGGGCTCACTCCTTTGTATGGGAGGCAAGTTAGAAATCACTGACAGGACCAGAGAGTAAAGCTCTCTTCCCTTTTTTGCAGACTTTATGTAGTTTATTGCAGCAGATTCTGTCCTCAGTGGTTGCCCTTCAGTCTCTCCTGCAGGTATTTCCATCTCTGCTGATGCCTGTGGATAGGAAAATCCCCTGCTCTCAGTTCAGTAGTGCCTTTTAGCCAGTAGTTGCTAAACCAGTGGAGTCTTGACATGGAAATCCCATGAAGTATTCTTTTCTAAACTCTTTCTACTGAATCAAATAGGTTTGTGGATGTGTTCAGTGCAAATGCAACTAGGTCCTCCCAACTTCCAGTAGCCAGAGTTATGCTTTTCAGGCTGATATTCAGATCACTGTCCATTTGTATCTGGCAGCTTTTTATTGATTTGGCTGTTAAAGCCAGAGTTGTGCAGAGCTGAGAGAAGGGGAAACCCAACCTAAGTGAAAAGTTCTAGCATTGCTTTGTCTTTTTTTAACCCACTGAAATAAAGTGAACAGGACAGTGTATCACAGACACTGTCTGGCGATTTCCATTTCCCTTCCCCGCATACTGAGACTGTTGAACTTGTCCCTAGCCCCAGCTCATGGCTCTGATGTGTCTCAGCTCTAGCAGTGTGACTGTCCCTTCCCTGTTACTGCAGTCCCTTGCTGACACACACCTCTGTGGGCCAAGCACGCTGCCCCAGGGACGGAACAGCTGCATCCTGTAGACAGGGGAAACCTTCAGAGGAGCCAATGGACCCTGCTGTTGTCTACTGCAAGTAACAGATAATTAAAGCTAAAAGCTTCTACAAAGAGAAGACGTTTATTGTCAAGCAAAGCCCAACAGCTTATGGGAAATGTCTTTGGTAGTGCCTGTGTGCAGCCTGGGGTATCTGTGGTGGGGAGTTCCTAAATGTTTACATTCTTTCAGTCTTAAAGGTAATCAGCCAAACTATGTGGATGGGAACCTAGAGGAAACAAAAGAGTGAAATCAAACTATTATCAAACAATTGGAACATAAATCTTCTTTTATCTCTGCAGGCATTTCTTCACCGGATCCGACAGAATGCAGTGGACAAAGCTGAGAAGTACATAACAGAGGAGAATGTTAAGGTATTTCTTCTGTCTTCCTTGTTTTCTTGGTAGGTGAAGTGATTTGCAATGAAAGGCTAGATTCAGGGATATGAATACCAGATATCCTCTTGTCATATTGATGCTTATTATTAAGCTGATTCCCTAAGGAAAGGAGCTCATGTTGATAGTTTATCTGTCAATCTGTTTGCCCGTTCTTATAGCTGTCATCTTCCAGTAATTTTTCATCTCACCAGCTAATTTTAGTAAAATTTGACAACAGTGTAGTGTTGTCAGAAATACTAACTTTTGGCAAGATTTGTGAAATGCTGAGTAGAGTACTGAGGGGCCATTTCAATGTTTTTGAGAGGAATGGCGGGGAATCCACGGCCCTTGTCTGTTTGGCTTGACAGTATTCAGTTAGCCAATTTGCATCTGCTGTTTTCTACTAATAGAAATTTGATAGGGCTTATGAGAAGGAGGCAAGAATTTTCCTTTGTGTTTTTGTGGAAAGGAATTGGGTTTTTGTGGGAGATCTACATATTGTGAGACCCTTGCATGAGGAGGTTCCTGAATGAATTTTGCCCTGGTAATAGTTAAGGGACATAGAGAACTGTGAGGTACAGGCTTCTCTAGTGCCTGTGATCACAGGGGGTGCATGTTGTTCATTAATGTCATAAATACACAAAACACTTTCCTGTAGTTATTTGGCAAAAAATCTCACCTTGTACACATATGCACATGTGTATTCTAATCACAGGGATCATTTAACTGTCACTATTACCTTTTAATACAAGGTTGAACAAGGGGCCTCTTCCCCTCTACATGTGCCTTTTGGTGTCACTGAGGTCAGTGAAAGGGAACTGTAAATGCTGCTCTTGAGGTTTGTGAGAAATGTACACTATTCTGTACTCTGAGCAGTGTAAAGCTGGATCCATACAGCAGATTTTGTCTCCTATTTACAGGCACACCCTTGTGTGTGATACCTTCAAGTCCCTTTCTTCCAGAAAGGGATTTCTAATGCATGGGAGGGAAAGGCAGACCACTCCCTGCTTCTGTCTCCTGCAAAATGAATTTGGCCTTGTGGTTCCATTTACCTGTATGTTCTCATAGGAAATATTCTCAAGACTTAAAAGAAGTTGTTGGCATTTATCATGCTCAGGGGTCTGCAAAGATAGCCTTAATTTACAGCAGGTATTTCAGTCAATGTAAAGATTTTTATAGGGGGCTAGGAAAGGGGCAAATACAGTGTAATTCGTTCTTTACAAGTCCCTGTCTGAGCTCTGGATCCTCTCATGGTCAGTCTAGAGCTCCACAGTATTTTGTCATTTGTACGTAGCAAAAACCTCTGACATGTATTAAAAACGAGCAATGTTTTTCTCCTTATGTTTCAGATCTTATTTTCTAACATTGAAGAAATTCTTGGTGTTCACAAGGAGTTCCTGGCTGCTCTGGAATTTTGTTTGCAACCAGAACCCCAGTCTCAGCATGAACTGGGAAGTGTTTTCTTAAAATTTGTAAGTACAATGACTTAATGCTATCTGAAAATACAGTTTCCTGTCAGAAGCTCTCCATCCCCTTAGCAAGCCCTAATCTCTAAGGCTTGTAGCAATGCTATGACAATGTGTGTCTTGTATGAAAGTTGTAGGTAGGGTGGGAAAAAACTTGTGAATGAGGCTAGAACAATGGACACCACATCAAACTGAGCTAAACAACGATGTATTTTAAGAAACTCTTCCCTTTCCTGTTGAATTTTTTCATTTTTTTTCTCACCCATTTGATCACATTTTATTGCTGAGAATTTGTCTGCTTTTGTTTTAAAAGTTTCAAAAATGCAGTGCAATTTCAAGTGCCTCAGAATCAGTATTCCTGCAGGTGCTTGCCTGGTATTGCAGACAGGGGTGTGTGATGTTCATGCTCCCTGCCCAAACAGCCCTTGCAGCAGCCTGGGTGTCCGTGCGGCCCTTGCAGCAGCCTGGGTGTCCGTGCAGCCCTTGCAGCAGCCTGGGTGTCCGTGCGGCCCTTGCAGCAGCCTGGGGTCGCGGGTTGCAGCAGCCGCTCGCTGCCAGCGCTGCGTGTCCCGGCGGGGCTCAGGAGCTTTCCTCACAGCACATGCTCTCACTGTTTCACCCAGGGAGACCATGGGGAACATTTCTTTGGTCTTTTGTTTGGGCAGTGTTCTGTTGTTGCAATATGCTCAGAAGTAGTGCTGGAACTCTCTCAGTGCTGCTTTTTCATTATCATCAAATCACAGTGAGTCCTGTGGGGAGCTTGCAGCGAGGAAGTGACAAAAGGCCCCTGAATCTTGAATGTATTGGCGTATCCACTGTTGTGATCACCTAGCAAGGTCATTCCTCGTCCTGATTACGAGTCCAGTACTTGTCAGCAGCCAGTTGTTAGCAGAGGTGCTTTTCTTTAGAAACTTGGTGTTAAAAATACTTAAAAATTTGGTGAATAGCTTGAGAATTCTTGAAGCACTGTTTTATCCAGACACTGTATTTTTCTAGCGGACCATGTTTTCTCTAAGTTTGTGTATTGTATATTCTTGTAGCAATCCCCAGATTCACCATGTGGAGTTCCATCAGGCTGCAGTGCTTGGGTCCTCTTCATGAGATTTGTGTATCCTTAATGTCCTCTAGAGTCTACATAGGCCTGACTTTTCCTGGTCTGTCTTGGCCTAGAAGAACCTTACTTGGCAACGATCCACCAGCCTTCAGAAACAGAACGCTGCTTTTATAGAATCATGGAATTGTTAAGGTTGGAAAAGACCTTTAGGACCATCAAGTCCCAGCACCACCACCATGTTTGCCATTAAACCATGTGCTCAAGTGCCAGCCACACTGACACCTTTTTTGAATACATCAAGGGATGGTAGTTGTTCTGGGCCCAGTATTGTCCCAAGGACCTTTAGTTCAGAAGGATTCAAGTCTTGAGTAGCACCTAAAGCAAGCAAGCAGATTTTGCAAGAATTCCAAAAAAGAAATTATTGCATACTGTCTTTTTGAAGTATTATAAGAGATAGTGAAATGTGCTTGCTCTGATACTCAGGTGTGAAAAATTGTTTTCTGTCAGAAGACAGACATTGTCTGCCCTACTGTACTCCATTTGGTTGGGTGATCAGAAATTCATTGTCTGATGGTAGGTGCTAGAGTTTATTCTGGAGCTGCAGTGCAGTGTGGCTGCAACAGGTGATGTAGAACATCCTTGAATACTCATTCCAAATCCAGTGTACAGCCTTAAACAAAAAGAACATGTGAGACATGTCTCAGAAGAGGGCACATGGGCTGGCAGTGGAGTGACCACACCTTGTGAGCACAAGCTTGCTTTTGCAGGGCAGGAAAGGGTGTGACTGTGTGTGACTGAGCATAAGGGCAGAGAATTGTCTGATCCTTTATTTCTGATATTGCCATATTGCTAGAGGTTTGGGAATGTAATAGCTAGAATCTTGTTCTAGGGAAATGTGTGTTATGATCATTTTTTGGAGCAATGTTGCATGAGTCTGTGTCATCGGGGATATTGTTACATTGAGAGTTATGTCTTCTGTTCAGGTTTTTGATGTTGACAAGGTTGGTTTCAGCCTGCTTTGAAACAAGAAAATGCCATGCCTTGTTAAAAATATTTTCAAATAAAATGTTTCAGTTTTCTAAATGTCTTATTTGCTTTTTCTAGTCAAAATGGTTTTCAAATTTGCATTAATTTTTAGGCAGTACTAATGGATCTAAAATAATATGTTTGGAGAATAAACTAATGGTTAAAGACTTATTTTAACCAAACTGAGAACAGTACAGTCTTACTTCTGTCACTAAAACAGAAGGTCTAGCTGTGTATCCAGCAGATTTGCTGAGCAAGAAAGTGCCATTTTTATCTGGTCACATCTCTGACCATAATTGCACTTTAACCTAGAGCAGCCGCAGGTTCAGAATTCCTGGGCTAACGTCTGTAATTATGTAACTGATAATTTCCTCACCAGGCCATGGGAGAACCTAGGACTGAGTATCACCCACAGAGGAAATGAAACACTTCAGACATGGAGCAATTTTAAGCATAGTTCTCATATTTGTGGGTCAATGGCATGGGGTACAGCTGGGAAAGACTTGAGGAAAGCACTCTGGTGTGTGTATAATTATTGTACTGTCTTGAGCTTTAGCAAAAGGATTTTGTCATCATATAAATATAGCCTCCCAAACTCCGGGCACTCAAAGCTGCAGTCAGAAACTTGAGCAGTGACATTTTGTGTGCACTGATATAACAGATGATTCTGTGTTAATGACTGCTGGTTTTAGTGTCAAGCATGGTACTTGTGTGCATCCAGGGAGTTGAGAAGTGAGTGGAGATGTGGGAAAAACTTCTATGTCTGTTTTACTCTGTAACTCTCCTGTTTTTATGGTTGACAACAATCCTGTTGCCTTTTTTCTATTGTGCTGTGGACCCAGGCCTGCCTTTTCCTGCATCTGGTGGTCAGAAACTTTTGTTTCCTTGCAGCTTCCTAGTATTGCACCCCAATAGCAACATGAATGGCTGCTGATGAAGGATAAAAGTCCTGAACATCTGCATTCCATCTCTTTGCACCATACCCTTTGTGGCTGTTGTTTTATTTGCTCTGTACCATTGTTCTTGTGTTTGGACATACATCTATTTATTCTCAGTTCTTTCTTTTGAAGTACAAGGAAAGGAAAAATGAATTAAACCAAATCCAAAAGCATTTTACAGATTCTGAACATGTATAGCTACCATTGAACATCTGACCAGAATGTCAAATTCTCCTAAACTAATATAAAAGCAATTTCTTTCCATTATGACAATAGCAAAGGGAATACCCAGTGACTGCAGCTGCAGTCCCATGTTTTCCCAAACTCCTTCAGCTGGCAGTAGTTCTTTGCTTGGATAACTGTGAGTGGTCTTAAAAGTACCTAGATGCTCAAAGTACCTTCAGCTGACACAGGAAGAGTGCTAGGACTCCAATCAAAACTCAAAAAAATTAACTTCCAAATTTTGGGGAGATTAAAAGGTTCAGATAGAATGTTTTCAGACCAGAATCTTGCTGTGAATGCAACAGCAAACTCTGGAAGGCATTGGCTACATGGCTTGGTGCTCTGAGAAAGCCTCACATATTACCCTGCAGAGTGCCACACTAATGCTTTGAAATTATTTTTGATATGCAAATTAGCTTGTCTGGGTACCTCCACATGGTGCTGCATTATGGCATAGAAGCTAACCTGAACCAGGAAATAAAGTGCTATCCTGAGAAGCACTCAAAACCGATGTTTTTTGGCTTCTGAATCATTCATTTTGCCTAAAGCCTAATATAATCTCATGACCCTCCTTTTATTCTGGTGAATGCAACAGTGGAAGCTCTGAATATAGCTGCTGAAAGTTCAGCCCTTCCTCCCAGCTTTGAGAGGATCAACTCGGCTCTTGCTGTATCTGCTCAGCATGGAAATAGTTGTTCCTGCTTCTTTTGTGAATCACTCCAGTGTTTCCAGATATCTAGTGTTTGCAATGGGTTCAGCATCTCTGATCATTTTAGACAGAAGGAGTTGCACTGTGTTTGAATCTGAAGATCAGTAGAACAGAACTTGCTGACCCTGACCTACCAGCTGACCTTCATTTCTTAACAGGGGATTTCATTCCAACATGTGCTGGTGGGTGTGACATGTCCCAGTGTTAGCAGCTCAATCTAATTGTGAAGCTACCCTTCCCTTCCTTTATTATCTGGAATACATTGGGTATTTGGTGTGTATTTGGTGAAATTCTTCCAGTTACAGAAACTATTAAATATATCTGTTAAGTTTTGTCTGCTGCTTGTTTCAGAACACAGTAAACCAGCCAACCTACTAAGGCCTGGCTTCTCACTGTTGAAAGGCAGGGGATTTCCAGCTGACTGCTTTGTGTTATAGTTCCCCTCCAGATCTCAGAGCTTTTTTCAGGCCTTGGCTCTTCCACTTGGCTTTCTTCCTCCTGCAGGAGTGGTGAGCCCCCTTGCTCCTGGCTTTGTTTTGCTTCTGGCTACTTCCATCCCAAGATAGCAAAATTCCTCCTTTCAGGAAAGAATACCAATGGTCTCAGTGAAGCATTAAGAGGAAAAGTGCTGAAAGTCTCAGTGCTCAGAAAAGTCTCTGTTAACTTACAACAGTAAGTCAGGAATTAGTGAGAACCTATATACATTACTCACATTAAGAGTGTCACCCACTTCCTGAAAACTCCAATGCTAATGCCACTTGGAGTCCACCTCTGTTTATAAATAATTTGGTAGCAGACTGTGGCAGAATAATCTCTCCAATGGTGTCTGAGTCAATAAATCACTTTGTTTTTCCTTGCAGAAAGACAAATTCTTTGTGTATGAGGAGTACTGTAGCAACCATGAGAAGGCACTCAGACTGCTGATGGAATTGAACAAGATCCCCACAGTGAGAACATTCCTTCTGGTAAGCACCTTCTCTAGCACTCTTGACTCAATGATCTGACTTTGCCCTGTGCTCATAATAACTCTTTGCTATCCCAGGAATGCTGGGCATTTTGCAGGTATTACCCACTGCCAGGTATGGAGCACTCAGGGTGGAGGGGTACTGAAATTACTGATGACTTGAGGCACAGAATTGAGCAGTACCAGCAGGAGTGATAGCAGTGGAAACAAGGAAGATTTTCTTTTTAAAAAATAACAGAAAAAACAAGCACAGATGAAAGGAATAGTGCAATAAGTCAGCAGCAAGACTGAGGCTAGTTCCCATTGGATTTGATCCCCTGCTCAGTTCTCTGACCAATTCACCATTTGCAGGCTAATGAAAAAAATGTGACCTGCTTCTGGCACCCTTTTCTCCATGAATCCAGTTTTGGCATGAAATGTAGTCCGGATGAATTGTTTTGAGTGCATCATTGCTGCTCAAATCAAAAGTAACCTAACTCCCATCCAAGGAGGGACTGTGGCCATATAGCCTTCAAACACGTCTTAGAGGCTGGACTGGAAGGAGAAGCAGTCAGTGGGCACTGTCTTCTACTGCTGCACTCCTTACTTTCCTTTCTTGGTTGTTTCTCTTCTTTACTTTCACCCGAATTCTGCTTGATTTTTGAATGTCTTGTTTTCTTGACCATGGATGAGTGGCATTTGTAACGGGGGTGGCACATAGGTGAGGGAATAATTTGTCACATCAGCTTTTTTCCTAGTAAATTCTGTGAAGTGAAATAAAGACTGTTTTTCTTGCAAAGGACCTGCTTTTCTTTCTGGTTTGTTTTTTTTTTTTTTTTTGCTTCCTGTGAAAGTTCTGTTCTTTCCCAGTGTAGTACAGCGACATACAAACATCAGTCACAAGCAGGGCCAGAGCATTCCTTTAGCCACAAGATACAGGCCGCAGAGGGAGCCTACCCTCGTGCTGTTGTGTAGGCAGAGTCACTTTGTCATGTCTGAGTTTTAATGAACCTTATTAAACCATTACTTTAAATTACTAAATGACCCTTACCTTGTTCATGAGGTTTTTTTTGGGTGCTTCTGCTGAGGGAAACCAATGAGAAAGGTGAGGGAAGGTGCATGTAAACCATGTCCTTCCCAACCTTCAGAACGTTCTCCACTTCCACTGAATTGACAAAGTTTTCTGTTCGTGTTAGAGACAGCAGCTGGCAAACTGATTACGAGGGACAACAAAGATGTCACACTGTCTACTGTGGCTTGCTGCAGCACCTGAATCCAAGAGACTTAAAATTGCAGTAAATATGGGAAGAAGGGCTGCACTGATGTGTCTGCTTAGCTGTGGTGCTGTAGTTTCTTCCAGACCTCCCTTCCCTTCTCTGCCTCCCAAACCAGTGCTACAATGCTGCTATGCAGAGAAGGCAGCACTAAAGTACAAAGCTTTACTTGTGAAGATAGATTTGGCCCAATTGCCCCCTCACAGCTGCTGAAACATAGAATGTGAGAATGTGTCTGAAAAGTCAGTAAGTGTTAAAGGGCAGTTTTGAGCCCAGAGCTAGAGAGAGGGCTGAAAAAAGAGATGGCAAGAATTGAATCACTTGGGACTTGGAAATTGGACAGGGAACATTGTGAGCTGGGTAGCCAATGCCACAGATCTAGAGTAGCCTGGGGACAGGTTATTTTACAGACAATTGTGTCTTAAAAATACCAGTTGGGACTAAGGAGATTTAATGTATGATGCCTGTGGACATTCCTTGAAGAGAAGAATTGAAGAGCTACAGCCAGAAAGCTCACTAAATTTCCGAGTGTGTCTGAGCCACAGCACACGTTTCACAGGGGAAAACACTACTGATGATTCCTCAATGCAGGCACTTCTTGGCTGAACTGCATTTAAAGTTCAGCTTCTGTGTTGACAGGACAGGTTTGCAACTGGAGTGACTTTTGGAGCAAAGTCCATATTCATGGTTGAGCATAGGAATGTGGACATAGTTTATCTGAAATAGACTTGAAGGCCACCTGAAGTTCTTACCTGTCTCTGGCAGCAACCAGTAGTAGAATCATCAGGGAATGTGTAAAAAGCTTACAGTAGGGCAGTATTGATTTGTCACAAAGATTACAGATTATTGTTACAAATTAAGGACAGTTCAAGGACTATAAGAGTTGTTTTTTTCCCACTGTCATCCCCTGTTCTTAAACTTCCCTTCTATATCAATCCTGAGAAATGAATTTCCATAAACTGTGGAGAAGTTCCATGTGTGCTGGTTAGCCAGCCAGTGTGCCCAGGCTGTTTGTCCAGCTGTGCTCAGGCATAATGTTTTGCCAGAGAAGTGGTGGATGTTATGCAGATGACTAATTTGTTTCAATTCCAGTTCAGTTCAAACATAACAATTGGACTAAAGTTAATTACATGATTACTAGTTAGTAGGCTTTATTTTACCCTTCAAGAGTTTTCTGGACCGACAGTATACAACTTTACATAGTGAACAAAGACAACAGGTCGTATCCATTGTGGAGGTAAATTGGATTATTTTAAGTAATGGTCCATCTAGGTTTGCTGTTTGCCGTCATATTGTTAGAATAGTTTTTGAGTCACCAGCTGTATAGTATTTCTCTGAGAAGATACTATTCTGCGCAGCCATTGTTATCCACTGCAAAGTTTCTTTTGCTGATGCCTGCAGAACTTTGCAGACTTGATGGCTGTATGTCAGACTTGATGACTGTATGGTGAATGAAATGCCATTTCCTGTACCTTAGGTATTGGAAAGTGCTTTCTCACCATAAGGCATGTTTTAGAAATACAAAATTGTGTCAAAAATCATCTGAAAGCTTTGTGTCTGAGGTAACATTTGTTTCTTTTTTTGATTATAGGGTTGCATGCTCTTGGGAGGCAGAAAGACAACAGACATTCCACTAGAGGGTTATCTGCTGACTCCAATTCAGAGAATTTGCAAATATCCTCTTCTGCTCAAGGTAAACCAGAGAAAGTATTTCTTGAGATGATTGTTTTATTCTTGGAGTGATTCTGCTTTTTTTTTAGCCCTGACTTTTGTTGCCACTATTGCTTTCCTGATTTACACTTCTGAAAGTTGGATTTTCTCTGAAGAAAATTGCTTTTTATGGGTACGGGTAAAAGGCTCCCTGATGCTGGCAGGCTGCTAAATCCTGTTATGGTCTGGGTAGAGCAGACAGGGTGACTTACTAACTAACCAAAGCCTTTTGACTTCAGTGCTCTTCAGATGTTTATTGAGGCTTGTGCAGGCTATTTGAGCCACTTCCTGTAAAGCTGAATTCAGCTAGAATTGTGCCTGTGTTCTGAGGGACTGGATGGCTCTGGGGACTCATGTTGGGTTATATTTCTCCTGACAAGGTCTCTAGTTTGATGGTGAGCAGGTCAGTAATGATCAAAATCCTGTATCTTCGGACAGCTGTTTGGCTGCTTGTTTGAAAACTCTTTGGTTGTCTCAGATGAGTTCCCAATGCGGAGGTGTCAATCCAGAAATGACTATGGTATGTGGCACTGATTGGCCCCCTTGCTAATATTCTTGCCAGAGAAGATAAAGCATAAATGACCTGAAAAGAGCTAACTTGCCTCTCATCCTTCCTGGTCAGGGCTGGGTCACCTGCCTGGTGGGGACAAGAAGAGGGAAAAGGATAAAGCAGTTTCTGGGAGAGCTTGCATCCCAGTGGCCTGGTAGATACTCTGTGGCTAACAGTCATCAATCTTCCATGATGTCAGTCTCTTCCTCAGCTAGAGCCACACTGTGTTTACTAAAAGAAAAGTAATTAAAAAAAAATAGAAATACTTTCCCTCACATTTTGAAAGAAAAGTCCTTGTATGAGTTCTGGAAGAAAGTAAGAATTCCGTGATGAATGTATGTCAAAACTCCTGGGGACCAAACATCCTTTCTTTGAAAGCCGAAGCCAATACCACCAAGATGAAGACTGAAACAGAGTTTCTTGCTTTGTAGCCACAGTGGGGTAAAGATGAATTTGCCCTGCCTGTGCCTACGCTTGGTCCTGGGGGTGCTGACCCAGACCCATGTGTACCTGTTGAACAAAGAGCTTTGCAGGGAGGGGCTGTGATGGGGCATCTCGTGGGGCTGCATTCCATTTTGCTATGGATTTCTTCTTGTATACAGGCTGATAAAGATCACATACTAGTTGAAACTTCCTGGATAGGAAATAAAAGTTTTAAGAAAAAGCAAAGAGGAATTAAGTTTTCAATAGGCAACAAATCTGCCTCAGTCAGTGAAATAATACCATAACACTAGGAGTTGTTCAGCTCAGAAAATATCAGTGACCATTATAAAGTGTGATTGATTCTGATTCTCAAAGGTAGTGAATTCATAGCAAATAAGTTGTGTCCCATTCAAGACTTATTTGATAGTTGCTAGCATAAATTACCAGAGCAGACACAAATGTCTCAGACATGAGAACACTTAAGGGAAAACACAGCCAGATTTTATTTATGCTGACCAGGAAAATGCAGCTCTCCAAGCAAGGGAAAAAAGAGATAGATTTAAAAATAGAGCAACCTTCAAATTAAGTGTTTGCTCCCCCTTTGCTCCTGAACTTCAGTTATGGCTCCTGAAATAGCTCTTTTGTATTCATGGGGATTGGATCTTGCTTTATCTAATTCCCAGGGCAAACAGATACTATTGTATTCTAGTTGATGAGAAGAGTCTTAGACCAAAGCTAGCCTACTATCCTCTTTTACTTTGTTTTCGGCAAGAGTTTGTGAACATCCAGATTATCTGGTAACTTTGATATGACCTTGTCTAATGTAAGTATTTAATGTAGCCAAGTAGGTGGGTTTGATAAAGCTAGTATGCACAAGGTAATTCAGACTCGATTGTGTTTGAAAGTAAACTGAAGTAGTAAGGTAAGGCACATATTTTAAATACTGTAACAACTTAATAACATATATGTGTGTTCTTCTTCAGAACAATAAAATCTGTCATGGAGTTGATTTGAGTTACTTAATTAGGAATAATACCCTAGAATATCTCCAAGTACTGATCCACTGTAAGCTTTGCAGTAATTTCCAATGAACTATATCATCCTGCAACACGTGACCTTATGTTTTCTCATGCTCTGATGAAGCTGTTTGGGTTTTTTAAACTAACATATGATGGAGACATAATGATCCAGATGATAGTGGCCAATACGTTTCAATTTTATTTATAGTTTCCCATTTTTTGTGACACAAACATTGCAGCTTTGAGGTGCCTGACTGTAAACAGGTTTTTGGATGGATTTTTCAGTTTGGGGATTTTTTCTGGGGAGAAGAGGGAGAGGGTGGGATCTTTTTTTGTGGGTGGGGTTTGTTGGGGTTTTTTGATTGGGGTTGGGGGCTTGAGTTTTACAATTTTTGTTGCTTTTTCTCTGTCTAGTTTGCAAGCCTTTTGTGTGGTTTGAAGGATGGGACTCAAACTTGGCTATGGCACTTCATAATCTCTGCACAAATAGAGAAATAGCAATATTAGTATTTGTGCCCCAATGCAGTTCTTGTCTGCTTCAGACAACATACAAGAAAATTAGTGTAGAATTTGTCAGTCAGTAAATTAGTTCCTATAACTGAGAAAGGGGCTTGGACTAGACTGGAGCAAAATGAAACTGTTGGCTGTGATGGGCATTGGTTTTTGGGAAGAAGGAAGGTAGCAGAGATGAAGGACACACAGCATGAGTGGGTGGCTGGAGAACTCTCGGGCTGTCTGTCTCTGCGCCGAGATGTGTGGGATGGTTCTGAGGCAGCTGTGCTTTCGAAGAATGAGTCTGGACTCTTCGCTTTTTTGGTCTTCGCATTGTTTATTATTTCTTACCTACAAAATTTTCTTTTTGCCCAGCTGAGATCTGCTCAGCAAGGCAGCCACCGGCACTCTGACCGCCCCTGAGGTGGTGTCATCCTTTTATACTACAAACTACGTATAACATATTTACTTTTAATTCCCAATACCTATCACCTATGTTAGACAGTGCACTTCTATTCTAAACCAATCCCCAAGTGCTAACATCACAGCAGAAAATGGAGAACAGGAGGAAGAAGAAGGACTAGACGTGCCCTGATTCCTCCATCTTGTCCCCATAACCTCCATTCCAAAAAATCCTAAAACCTACATTTTCACCCTGTGAACACCTTGTTTTTATACCATTCAAACCTGTGTGGCTTTCACATCCCCATGCCAAGCTGGCAATTCGTTGGAAGGATCAAAATCAAGCCTCCAGGTGTTCTGGGCAGAATGCCAGGGTCTCCGAGCCCCCCCCCCCCGACGGGAACATCGGCAACTCGGGACATCCGGAGGGATGTGCTGAGTTCCCACAGAGAACTTGCCGAGCAGATCTTCTAGCATGGGGTTTGGGTGAAGGCAGCTCTGTCTCGCCTGTTCTAATTGTGGGACTCTATTAACTAATCTCAACTCTACTGCTTAAGAGTAGAAACAGCTGTTGTGTAAACCAGTCTCTGAACAAAAATAGTCTTTTCCCCTTAATAAAGAGCATTTCTGTCAGCAAGAAGCAAACCCTGGGGCAGTGGTAATCATGAGTTAATCACACCATCGTGTGGGGATTAGGCACAGTCACTTCTGTCTCCTTCCTCTGGCACAGGAGGAATGCACAGCACATGACAGCCGCACCCTGCTGCTCTTGGGAGCCCAGAGCCCACAGGGCTTGGACCTTGCCTGAGGTCTGGTCTGTTGACGATTTGCTCAGACTCCAGCCAGAAATGCACATTCCACCCTAATCCTTTAAAAATATCTGAGGGCATACAACTCCATGGGCAATTAGGACAGTAATTATGTATTGCTTCATGTGGAGAAGAGTTTTTCTGGCCCTGGGAGGGGCAGAAAAACCTGTATGCAGAGAGGAGTCACCAGAGTCAGAATCCCCTGGAAAGGAGAGCCCAGCAGTGAGGCATACACAGGCCTTCATGAATCACTGCCTGCACTTGGAAAAGGAAAGATGGGAAGCCACTGGTGGGAATACAGAACAGGATGAAGGAAACTTACCTTATTGCCTCCCTCACCTCTCCATTCCTCTTGTGGCTGTTCAAGAAACAGAATCTTCTATTTGGCCGTAATTGAATATAATTGTCTTTGGAGGATTGGCTTTTTCTCCCCCCCTTCCCTCCTCCAAGAAAAGTTGTGTTGCTCTTAGGTTCATGACATTGTGTGGTTGAAATCCAATTCTATGTAGCATAATATTAAAAATTGTCTATTCCCTAAAGAGCTCTAAGGAGCACTGTCAATTTATAAATCATGCTTTTGTCTTCCACACATATATAAAATCACAAATAACTGCTGATATTTATAAAACCAGAAACGTTTTTATTGCATTTTAAGTTAGCATATGTTGTAGGTTTAGTGGCATGTTGAAGCTAATCTATTTTATCTGATCCACCTTTGCTTGTCAAGTGTTTACCCTGCAGAGACATTGACATAAAGTACAAATTTTAACAGTGCACAGAATAAAAAAAAAAATATTGTGATTTGCAGGCACACAGAGGAAGTGTGATGTATCATTTATTTTCTGCTTAGTAAAGGCAAATATTACAAGCTGTAAAATACAAGTATAAAACTGCCAGGAACATATATGTTTACAGAAAGGTGGTTTGGGTTTTTGTTGCCTTTTTTTTCTCTTTTTTTAGCACATTTGGAGCTGAACTGTTGATTAACTTAACTTTTTGAACTGATAAAGGAGTGCGTTGTCTCTTGTTATCTCTGTGAAGCTCTGTTGCTCAGCAGGCCAGCGAGGGTTGCAGCTCTGAGGCCATGGTCGGTGTGTGCCAGAGCAGGGCAGCCTGGCAACAGGGATCTGCACCAGCCAGTGCACAGTGTCAGCAGCCCATGGACAAAGTCCATGTTAGGCCATGTCCGAGTGTCCTCAGGGGAGTAAAAGTAGGAGGAAGGAATTTCTCAAATAAAGGAATGTATAACTTTCAGCTGCGAAGTGTATTTGCTGTCAGTTTGAAGTACACAGTCAATATTGTGCACTGAGGGAGGACATGGGGAAGGATGTCAGAGACTTCTTAAAAAAAAAGAAAAAAAGAAAAGTGTCTTTTATTAATTATTTTAAGAAACTCCTGACAAGAAGTAGTTCTCTCTAACTGGCAGCAGCCTTATTTCCTGACCCTATTAGCACACAAGTTGCAGTACAGGAGATAGCAATTCCAGACAGCGATGTCTGTGGGCTTTGTGGAGGATAAGGGTTACCCAGGTATTGCCATACTGGGGTATCTTTCAGCTGTCTTTGAAAATGTTGTCAAATGCTCTTAGAGTTTACGCATCATAAATGTGTCACTAAAAGAAATAAGTACCCAGAGCTCTCTCCCTGTGTTTCAGAAGTGCTGAGCTCTGCTCTTTTGGGAAAAAGGGCAGCGTCAGGATAGCACAGCTTTACCTTGGGCAGCTTCAGACAGGGCTGTGGAGGGGCAGTGCCAGTCCCAGCCAGCACCCTCCCTGCTGGTCCCAGCCTTCTCTCCTGCTCCCAGGGTGTGACTGGCATGGGGAAGATGCTGTTGCAGCAGGGCGTGCTGTGAATGAGACGTCTTTCTCTGTGTTTTGGGGATATTTCTGAATGGGATGTTTAGACAGTGCTAGTGTGTACATACCTCTTCCCAGTGCAGTATGGGTGACACTGCAGCTACAGAACTTCACTGATTTTTAGTGAGAGTAATCTGTTTTGCAATCACAGAGGCTAGTGTCACCAAAGTGTAACACCTGTCTCCTGCCTTTGCTTTTTGCACATTTACTTTTCTTGCCTCACTTTCAGCAAAAGTAAAGACTTCCACAGGGATTTTCATTTTGATATCAACTGACATTTGTAGCAGGAAGCCTCCTTTTCCTGTGCATCTTTTACTCTGTAAATCACAGATGGGTGGAAGCAGTCTAGCTCCAGATCACAGTACTGGGCAGGCTTTCTGGCTGTATCCAAATTCATTCTTGTGTCTCATGCAGGATGATGCAATTCAGCAGCACAGGACTTTTAAACAACCAAATAATACATTGGGGCAAAAGATAGTGAGAAAGTTAAGTATTTCAGTCTTAAACACCATATTATGTATCAAGGTTAAATTACCAGCCATATTTTAGATTTCTTTAATGTATTCTTATTCAATTGTGGCTGACTTTGAAATACTATTGGTCTAAAAAAAATGATTAATTGTGAGTTGACAGTGGTTGTCCCTTTTGCCAAATATTGTCAGGTTCTGAGTTTTGCCTCTGCTGTTTTTCAGTGGACAGGGCTTAACTGGGCTGTTATGCTTTGACACAAGTGAAGCAGAGACTCTTATGGACTCCTTCAGAGCAGAGGTGTTGTTTGTCTCGATGTCAGGACACGTGCCCCAGCCTTCTAAACATACAAAGTAAACATATCTGACGCAGCAAAACATACTTGAGCTCTCTTAATGTAGCTCTCTTAATATTTAACATGAGCAATTGCCTCATTTTTTTAACAGCATTCATATTAACCCTGTACACATGAAGAATAGAGAACAGCATCTGCAGTAAAATGCCTCCAAATTCTCTTTAGTTTTGCAATGGTTCTGGCATTTTCTTGTAGGATTGCTTGCTAATGCTCAAACCTTTCCATGAACCACTTCTCAGTTTCCATGTTTTCTCTTTTTTTTTATAAGGAATTAGCTAAGAGGACTCCCTCCAAGCATCCTGATCACCCAGCTGTCCAGAATGCACTGCAGGCAATGAAGACAGTCTGTACAAATATCAACGAGACCAAGAGACAGATGGAGAAACTGGAAGCCCTTGAACAGTTGCAGTCCCACATCGAAGGATGGGAGGTAGGATGCAGGACCAGCAAGCTCCCTGGAGGCTGGTAACCGCACGGTTTAATGACTCATGTTGCGCACAGGGATTTCTGTTTCTTTTGTGATGTGTAAACACTCTTGAAGGTGTGGGCAGCATCACACAGAGGAATTTGGAATTTAAAGTGTATTTGTGTGTGCAGGCTGGTGCTGAACAAGCAGAACAAGAAGATTATGAAAGAAAGGAAGGTGTTAGAACTAGATTGGAGCTGACATTTCTAATGGGTAGATCTCACTTGAAAGGCAAATAGATCTGGGTGAAATCCTTATGAGTGCATCAGTTATTTCAGTTTAATGGCAGATAAAATAAGGGCGTGTTAGTAAAAGATGTTCATTGTGCACTCATAAAGGAAAGTTAATTTCTTTTTTATGTTTCAGGGGTCAAATCTGACAGATATTTGCACACAGCTCTTGCTGCAAGGGACTTTGTTAAAAATCTCAGCAGGAAACATCCAGGAGAGAATGTTCTTTCTATTTGATAATCTCCTGGTCTATTGCAAGAGGAAATCAAGGTGAGTCTCTCTGTATTTTCAGTTCTACCCTTCGGAAGACTTGTAGGTGGAAGCTGTGATCATTTACTGATCATTCACTGTATTCTCTGTTGCTTCTGTAGGGCTGAGTCACAGGTGGAAATTTCCTCTGTTCATGGCTAGTTCTATCATTTAGGCAATAGGAGAGAGAAATCAGTATGTGGTAGGATAAATATTCCAGGCAGTATCAGAGTGCCCCTCTGAGAACTGTACAGACCAAAGAGGAATTAAAACAGTGCAGCTAAAGCTCAGGGTGAGTTCTTACAGACAGAAAGCTTCCGAGGGCAGCTGCATCTCCAGGAATAATGTGAAGGTGCCAGCTTATATTGTGAGGTTATGCTAAGCATAAGAGGGTGATGTGGAAAATGCTAAAAAGCCAAGATAGGGGAAAGTGGAAGACTAAGCAAACATAAAATAGATGCAGGGCCCAGGGGAGTGGGAGAGAGATAAAGATTTGGCTGTTGCTGTCAGTATTTACAACCCATGTGCTCTGTTTGTTGTCCTTCTTTCCTATCCTGGTAATTCTTTTTTGCATCATCCCACCTGATAAACCTTAAGTATTGTTCAAACCTGCTGCTTGTAATTAAAATAGCATTGGCAGAGTAGAAGGCAACTTGCTTCTGCAGCAATTATATGGTATTTCTGTTCCTGAGCTTTTCACCTTCACAGCCCCAGTCTCATTCTCATGTCTTGGTCTGTTCTGAATTTACAGTGCATTTTCTGCACTCCCTTCTTTTCTACCTCCCTTTCCTGTAATACAATCCTCCTGCTTCAAGTTATACTTTCTTACTGGTGATGGCCAAATAGAACAGCCAACCCAATCAGATATTCTGTAAAACCAGTATTCTCTCCAAAGAAAATTCTAATTTCTCAAAATTTGTGTCTTTTTATCTTTTTTTTCTCCTTCTTCTTTCTTGCTTCCCCCCCCTGCCCCCCACCCCCGGGAAATTTTGGAACCCTTAAGCTGTGAAAGCTAATTTCAGTAATGTTCAGATTTTTTTGTGTTTTTATAATTTATAATGCTGAATTTATACAACCTAAATACAAATTATTAGGTGATGCCTACATTCAAAATTAGATGAGATATAGATGTTTAAACTTTAAAAAATTGCACCATTAAATCTAAAAGACTTCAAATACTTAAAATGTTATCTACCTGAAGCATTCTGACTCTGAAATGACGCATAGGAGGGGAAACACTTCACTTGGACCCTCTACCAGGTTTACCAGAGTCCAAAATTCTGTATGAAACAGAGTTCAGAAATGTGTGCGTTTTTTAACAGAAACCATTCCTTTAAAAAGCCCAGTTAATTTGATACTAATCTTCTACTCCTTCAGAGCTCTTAGAAGCTGTTTTTCTAGCCAGTTTGTAGTTGAGGTTAGCCTAACTCCAGCACTGTCCAGACAGTTTTCCTGGAACACTAAGATTTTGAAAACAAAATGTTTCTAGTGCCCTTTAAGCAGAAGTTTCTTTTTATACAGGAGACATTACCAAGCTCCTCTGTAGTTTGGCTTAATTTTGGAGGAACCTGCTATGACATTTGGATTTCTCGAGGGATTGGTATTGTTTACCTTTGTCTGACAATGTAACTCAAACTGATGGGATGTTGAGAATCCGATTTCCACTAAAAAGCATAATATTTCATTAAGTCTGCTGGAAGTTGCCTAATGTACAAGATATATTTTGATCCCTGAGCTACCTTAATTTTATCTACCTAGATATTTCTGCTGTCTTGCTGCAATTTTTAATTAGTCTACAATAGAAATCAGTGTCTTTTCCTTTGTGTTGGTGTGTCCATTTGGCCAGCTGCTCTCAAATAACTAACATGTTGGTGGGACACACCTTAAAAAATACCGAAACCCCATTAAGAAACTGTCTCTGTCTGTCCTTAATTTGAGATTAAGTGATTTAGTTTTCATCTCATTGTGTTGTGCTAACTTGTACAAATCAGTGGAGTATTTCTTGATTTAAGAATGCAGTCAGAATTCAGGGCTTAGTCTTTGATAAGTAGTCAATAATGCAGCATGCCAATCTGGGCATCATATTTTTTCACAATAACATAAATTAGGAGTAGGATTGTCAAACCCAGTGTAAGATGTGTTTAGAATCAGAACTAGATCTGTGATTTTAGTTCTGCAATAGCTCCTTTTGCAGAAGTGTAGGGAAGTCTGTCAAACGGATGACATAGATTTTCAGAGCTGAGTATTGTTTTTTAGTTTTAGCAGGATTGTAGACTGCTGTATAAATTGAATCCTGATGTCAGGAACAGTGTGTTTCATGTAGGGAAGTAGGCTGAACAGTTAAAGGCTTTCCCTAGGCTTCCAGGACAGGTTTTCTTTTGACTTGAGGAGTTGTCTTTAGGAAAGGATCCAAGAGCTTCAAGATCACAGTCCTTGTCAGTCTGATTGGATATAAATACGTAGTCATCACCAAATGTCTGTTTCTAAAGGTAGGTGTAAAAGAAAAAAATGTTCAGAAAAAATGGGTGATTCTAATCTCACCTCAGTTTTACCATAGAAATACCGTAGGTCTTTCACTCTAACAAGAAATTTTTTTCCTCAGCTGATTTTTACTGCAATACTTTTTGAATCCTACGAGGTACTGGCAAATTGCCGCAGCAGAGCCTTCACTGACTGGAATCTGGACACCTGCCTTAATGACCATTTATTACCAGTTGTGTTTTGGCTTGCGTAGCAGGGTTATTCTTGGATAGTAAAACACAACAGGTGTTACTTGGATAGTTTGAAACCCATTTTAGCCATAAAAAACAGAACATAACTTGTCGCAGACATCTTTTTGTGAAAATCCTTTCTTAAGATTTTTCCTGCTGAAGCTGAGAAGTTTCAGCAACAAAATGTAAACAATGATTATCTGCTGCTGTGGAATGCAACAGGTCCATCTGTGATTGGCCCATTTTGGATGTTTATAATTAATGACCAATCAAGAACCGAGCTATCTCAAACGGAGTCCGAGAGAACTGCCTTTTGTTATCATTCTTTTCTATTCTATTCTTAGCTAGCTTCTGAGAGGAAACCTTTGCTTCTATTCTTTTTAGTATAGTAATAATGTAATATATATATATATATATATATCATAAAAGAATAAATCAAGCCTTCTGAACATAGAGTCAACATTCTTATCTCTTGCCTCATCCAAGAACCCCTGTGAACACTGTCACAATAACTGGTAATGAAAAGTGCTTTCCTGAATTCAACAGAGACACTATAAAGCTTATGGATGATGTAAATTTGGGTGCAAAATTGCCCCAGCAGAATTTTCCCTACAAAAACATGTAACACGTGTGCCAGTGGCCTCTTTACATCGTTTGTTTCATATTTGAAGTTTGGTGCATTCCACAAAATGATCACAGCTTTAGGCAAACAGAGGAGTCAAATGTAATGTAGTCAGTGATGCTGCAGTTGTCATCCCGAGGCCATGTGCTGTTCATGGACTTGTATTTCAGTCAGTCATCAAGAAGGTACATCTTGAAGCCACCCCCATCTTCACATAATCTGGAAAAACAAGCTTGTTATTGCTATACTAACACTGGTACACACCTATCTTGGAAATCTGAATGAGTATTCCAATTATTTAACGTCAGAGGTATGGTCAGATACCACCAGTCGCTATATTGAAATCCTGCTGTAATAGTCATATCTCAGATTGATTTATTCATATATATGTTAGACCATTTGCTTATGTGTTATAACAGTTTTCATCCTAATTGCAGAGTTACTGGGAAAAAAGCATCTAAAAGGACAAAGTCAATCAACGGGTCCCTTTATATCTTCAGGGGCCGAATAAATACAGAAGTCATGGAAGTAGAGAATGTGGAAGATGGAACAGGTAAGTTACTAAATATTGTCTTTTAAGAACACAGGAAGTTCAGCTCTTGTGTTGGAAGGTAGTGCAAAAGTACTTGTCTACCTCTTTTAGCAAAATCTGAAGCAATTTATGGAACTCGTAGCACCTTCGTTATTGGACCAACTTATGTGGTTGAAAGACTGGAAATGCTTTCAGGCACTAGTCCTTCCTTCTGAAATGACCTTATTAAGAGTATGTTTTCCCAAAGTTTATCTATTTTTGGTCCCAATCCAAGTTAATTTAATAAAAGTTACTTCTGTCTTCTTTTCGTCTTTTTTTTTTTTTTCACAATCTAAGCCATTACAGCTAAAATAACATAATTTATGGCTCTTCTTCTCATTTAGAATGCTACTAAATATTAGTCTTAGTATTCAAATTAGTAGCATGGAATGTGACCATGAGCAAAATACAGGAATGACAGTTCTGTTAGGATTCTTGTATCCTGACACAGCCAGGAAGACCGGGTGGGATTCTGATTCCATCCATAAAGGCCACACCACCACTGCCCCTATTGTAATAAGCCAGGAATTAGTGTTATGTCCTTTAAACAGTTGATACATAAAGAGTTTCCATGTCGTGGGACAGAAATCCTTACAGTGCAGGAAGATAGTGTATCCCCAGAAAATTCAGAACAAATACCATGAACAAACATCATAGACTCTTCCACTAATGGCCTTGTATTTAAAAGACTTTAGTTCTTCTGAGGTGAAATCAGCAAGTGTCACACTTGGGACTGAAGCATTCAGTCAGTTTGAACAGCCTGTTGATACTTGTACTTCCAGAGTGGTAAGTACAGCTGGTTCCATGGGCAGTCAGTAAGGAACACCTCAGGAATCAAGGTCTTCAAAGAAGATTATTTTACTGAAAGTGTCCCACACTGGTTTGGTTTAAGGAGCAGGCTTCCTGCTCACTGTGTGCTTTGTGCTTGGACTTTTTGCAGCAGATTACCACAGCAATGGCTACACGGTGACAAATGGCTGGAAGATTCACAACACAGCCAAAAACAAGTGGTTTGTCTGTATGGCCAAGACTGCCGAGGATAAACAGAAGTGGCTGGATGCTATAATCAAGGAAAGGGAGCAGAGAGAGAGTAAGTGGATGATGTATTTTGTACTGCACTGAATGATCTTGTAGGACAAATGTATATGCACATAAATGTATTTGAGAGAAAGAAAAAAGGATACACATTTTCTTCCATGGAGAAAATGAAAATCTGTCCTTAATGTTTTCCAAAAGCTAGGAAACAGCTCTGAGGTCGCAGAAGGTTCTTGATTCATTGTAGTATCTTACCATAAAGCAGTTAGGATGAACTTCTCTTCTTAAAAAATGTACAGCTCTCCTTTTCTCTAGCTTTACAGTGATCACTTAAATTCTGCCTGATGTCGATCTCCACTAAAATTAGGCATGGCCACTTCAGGCTGCCTGTTCTCAAGCTAGTCTTGGAGGTGTCTAAAATCTGTGTCTCTTTTGGACTCCAGAGTTGCCCAGATTTGCAAGTTCTAGAGTAACATATCCAGAAAATTACATATTCAGGCTAGAACACATAAAGCATCTACAGCACCAAAACAGTTTTTGCGAATGCTGTCCTCCTAAAGCAATTTGCAAATCTAAAGAGAACCCCCCTCCCCTGCTGCTCACACTGGTGAATCAGCCAGCCCACGGGGGGATTTCTGTGTGGCAGTGCATGTGGCTGGGTCATGTCCAGCTTTTCATCCACCTGCACCTATAAGTGTTTCTCTCCAGGGCTGCTTTCAATCCTGTATTTGTGCTTGGGATTGCCCTGACCCATGCTCATCTTGCTTTGGACTTTCTTCATGTTCTGTAAACCATTCTGTTTTGTGTGGTATGATATAACCATAAGTTTAAAGCTGCTTTTTAAAATGTGGAAGAAAAGCTGCATCTTAGTGGTACTAAACTTAACAATGACTGTTTTGTACACAGATAAAAAAAAATACGTAATTTACCCTTTAAATGGAAAATAAGTCAATAAAATTTTTGTGTTTCTGCAATTTTTTGCTGTTTGGCCTCATCTTTTGACTTCAAGGAAACATTTTGTTTGATCTTAAAGATCTGAAGGAGTTTCTGCTTTCTATTCCAGGTTTGAAACTGGGAATGGAGAGGGATGCATATGTCATGATTGCAGAGAAAGGAGAGAAGCTGTACCAAATGATGATGAGCAAGAAAGTGAACCTTATCAAAGATAGGAGAAGAAAATTAAGTACTGTTCCCAAGTGCTTTCTTGGCAAGTAAGTGGTATTTGAATTGAAAAGGTCTTTTACATCAGTTAATGGACTCTAGAATTTCTGGGAATGTCATTGTGACACAGATCAGATGTGCTTTGATGCAGCTTAGTTACAAGGACCATAAGCCCCATTACAGTCATGACTTATTAAAAAATAATAATTGATTTTTGTTTCACACCATACCCAGGCTGAATAGTGTGGCAGCTCGCTCTGTTTTACAGTAAGTCATAATAGCTGCTTCAGATCATCAGAAGGAGTAAGAAAACTACCTTAAACTCCCACAAGCTCCAGGCTGTGGGTGGCCTAACTTGGACTCTCTTTGGTATACAAGCAAATGCTTTCCAGGTGATACTTAAATCCAGTGAACTGTCCAAGCATCAGGATTGTATATAGAAGTTTCTTGTTTGCCAGTGTAACAGGCACCAATGAAATTTTGTGCATCATATGACCTGATATGTTTGTTAGAAGTATAGGACTTCATTGGCTGGAAAAAGCCTCTTTGATTCAGCTAGATATTACAAAATAATGACAAACTAATTCTGAAGGATGACACATGAGGAAGCAGAAGAGACTCTGTGGCCATCTTGGGTCCATAAGATGAGGATTTGCATTATCCTTATAGATACAGCTGTGTCATCTTTCCTTTTGTGTGCACACTGTCAGTGAGCTTAGGGCAGTGATGGGAAGAGGCTAAATCTTCTACACAGCATTTCCTCCAGGAATGTAGGAAATGAAGCCACTGCGTAGAGGTACCATTCCTTACAACAGTTTTCAAACTTGCTCCAAGGAGAGTCTCCTGTGATTGACTGGTGACTCACAGAGGCAAGTGCCTGCTGCCACTTGGAGCTAACTTTGTGTGTTCTGCTCCCCTTTGCAGCGAGTTTGTATCCTGGCTCACTGAAATTGGAGAGATAAGCAAACCAGAGGAAGGGGTCAACCTGGGACAGGCACTCTTGGAAAATGGAATCATTCATCATGGTGAGTGTGCCATATCATAAAAAGAAACCAGATTTCAGTAATGCCCTGGAAATAAGGGTAGAAAACTTACTGAAACTGTTCACATGATGTTGAAATGCTTTTTTCTGCCATACCCATCAAATCCTCAAAATGTTTAGGGCTTTTTGGGATTAATTTCTTGACACCAGCATGCTTCTGCTTTTGGAGTCGCAGGGTTTTGGGCAACTGCAGAAATGGCTGTAAGTGCTGTGAAAGCTATTGTGGGAATTTGCAACACCTTGTTCAAAACTCATTGAGAAAGGTCAGATGTTCCCAGTTCCCTTCACTAGGACTGTTTCCAAAGACTTACGTAAACTGAATCTGATGTAAAATTTTAAAAATCCAGTTTTTACCAACTGGCCTATAAAGAACATGGTGGGGACAAAAGACAATTTAAATTGTCATGCTGATATTTTAGTTTCAGATAAGCACCAGTTTAAGAATGAACAGGTGATGTACAGATTTCGCTATGACGATGGAACATACAAGCCAAGAAGTGAATTGGAAGACATCGTGTCCAAGGTTTGCTTTATCATTCTTAGTTGGAACCTTGTGATTTGCTCTCCCTCTGAATGTCATTGACCTGCTGTGTGGGAAATTGCCGTTGCTGTTGATCTGTGTTGTTTTGAGCTGTCCATCCTAATGCCAGAGGAGACATTCACATTAGGGAAAAGAAGCAGAGTTTAGCAATGAACATCAATACAATTGTGACTGCACCCAAGACTGCTGATTGCAATCCCAGTAGAGTAACAAAATGTTTTAAAACAGTAGGTGGTAACACGTCTGCTGCAGATCTGGGCATTATGGTTCAGGGGGATAGAAGAGATCAATATTTAACTGTTCTTAATAACTGTTTGTCAAATGAGTTCTGCTGATACCATATTTGTCCACATACCTTTTAATAAATTTGATTTTTTTCTTATGGACATTGGTTAATGGGTTAATTGTGAGGAAGGATTAATGGAGAAAATGTTGGAATGGAGGTGATTAGAGGTAAAAAACAGATTTCTGGCTGTTGAAAGCCAGGAAGGAAGGAAGAATGTTTGACAGAGAGACTAAAGGAGCTGTTTTGAATATCAATACTAATAAATAAAAAATTCCAGCTGAGTAGAGACATCAGTGTCTAGGTTTTGTTAGCATTAGCTAGTCAGTGTTTCATTGAAAAGGAAAAAGCTGCTAACACTCTGCGTCTTCCATTCTTCAGGGAGTGAGGCTGTACTGCCGACTGCACTGCCTGTATACTCCAGTGGTCAAGTAAGCTCCCCTTTGTGATCCCTTTGTATTTATTATCTGGCTTTGTTAAAAATATGACCTTACTATTGAAATCTTTATTGTTTCTTACTATGAGCAATAATTTTCTGAATTTTCTTGGCTCTTCTACTGCCCTTGCATCTCCACAGCTTAGGTCTATAGTTGCAGTGCTGCTGCTAGAGGATGTTGGAACTGGGGATTCGGGGAGAGTGAGCCGCTGGGTATGGTTACAGTGGCTCTGATTCATGGCAGATGTGGTGCCCCATGTGGTGGGGATTGTAGTTATTGTATTATTTGGGTTATAGAAAATGCCAACAGATGCTGAAGAGATGTAAGCAGATTCCAGTATGGTGCTAGGATTCTGTCATTCAGAGCACCCTAAACAAGCAAAAGCCAGTCTGAAGCAGAATAAAAGCTGAAGCTGTAATTTCAAAGAAACCCTGAAAGTTTTGTGTGGAATCTTAAGAACTTGGCTCTGTATAAATAACTGCTGAAGAATTGAGGTAGTCTGCAAATGCTAGGTATCTCTTCCCAGAGTCCAGGAGATGATTTTCAGATGTTGTTCACCTTACTGTGACATCAGATGAACATTTCTGGCCTATACTGGAAACCACCCTGAACTCTGTAGTTGTTCTACAACTGCATGGAAGATTAGGCATTTTCACTTAGAAGAACTTAATTTTTTACAAATAAAAAACTGATGAGAAAGAAAATCTGTCTAGTGGAGATGGCTGGATTCCCAAATTCAGCAAAACTGACCTCTTGTCTACGAGTTGTACAACTGAATTTTCACTGAGAGAGGCCACTGTCATGCTAAAAGGAGCTGCAATGATAGTTACGGTTTATAAGTCATAAATTTGCATCATTAGAACTCTGGATTTTTTCCCAGAATAACTGTTCTACAATGGCACAGATTTCACTTAGCCCAAAAGGTGTGGAGAGAGCAGGAAAGCATGATGCTGCCAGTAACAGACAAAATGATTCTATAGATGCACATGTGTATTTGCAAGTGCACATTTCACCCCGAAGATGGCAATTCATATGCAGAGTAGAAATGATGGGATGTGAAGTTCAAAAAATGCCCCTGAACTCAGGGTACCCACAAACTGAAGTGGACCTACTCTAATGCTTTAGGGAATCAATAGGGACAAAATAACTCCCACAGGCCCATCTTGTGGTGTTTTATCGATGTGCTATTTTTGTAATAGCTTTCCAGCTGGAGAAGCTATTAGGATAGCTTCTCATATCAGGATTGATCTGTGCTAGTGACATTGTGAACACAAACTGTGTATAATCAATGAAAGGTACCAGACTCTCCGAAGATTTAGGATCCTTCTGAATGGACTTAATTCTCAGTATGTTCAGGCTCTTCTTCCTGCCTTTTCTCTTTCTTATTCCTTCTTCCTTTTATAGCCATGTTAGAAAACCTAATCTCTCAGGCTGTCCTTGTTTTGTCTTCTTATCATGACTTCTTGCCTCTGACAAGCCTCACCTTAGCCTAAGGAAGATAGCTTTTGCCGAGTTCGTTGCCATTGCTTTGTGCTGTGCCTTTGGATCACTGCTTTATCTAGCATCTTAGGAGTGCTGATCCCTTCACTCATGCTGCCTTTTCTGGTGCAACCTTCCTTCTAGAAAATTGGCAAAGCAGCTTGGAGTAGCAGGTACATGTGCCACAGGGATCTGAAGGAATCACGAATTCAAAACTGTTTTATTGACAACCTTGAGATACAATTCTATTTAGTTTTATTCCCTGGAAGCCTTGGAGTTTCTTGTAGTCTTTGCATTTATGTTTTTCCTCAAGTTAAATCTTGACACCCTGTCACTATGACATGATGTACACCACTGGAAATAAATCATGCTACTTTGGGGATTGAAGTATAAGAAGTAAAACATTTTGAAAATTCTGAATGTATCTTTGATGCACTTCTGGGAAGTTGTGAGGTGAAAGAACTTATTCCCACTTATGTATGTGATGGACAATATGTCAATGCATTGCTGGCTAGACTCTGTGAAGAATATTCTATTCCTTTAGTTTCTGTAAGGCAGCAAGGTTCTGCCAAAATTTCAGTGGCTCCCACCTCTATATTTGGCTATTCACCTGAAGTTCATGGTTCTGGATAATGATCTGTCTTTCATGTTCTGCTCCTGTTCAGGGTAGATTGAAATGGTGAGAAAAGAGAGTGAACTAAAGTTGATTTTGACCAACATGACCTGCAAGCAGGGAAAGACTGGGTCTTGCACCAAGATTGATGGCAACTTATCAAAACTGTCAGCATCACTAGGAAAGTTTTGAGAGTTACTTCTCATCTGGAACTCCCTACTCATTAGTGCTCAATATTTTAATGTTGTCCTTTATTGTGGTGACATTTCAAAAGTACACTTTCCCAAGATGAGAGTGTGAGAGGGGAAATCTGCCCAGAAAACTCCTACAGATTTGTGCTGTGTTTAGCGCATTACTGGGAGACAAGTTGAAAACTGTGTGTAAGCACTATGAGGAAAGCTTTTTTTCTGAGGATACATTACTGGAAATGCTGTCATGTTTTGTTGGTTTTTTCCCAAGCTCTTGAAGTCCCACTTTTCTTTCTAATTTCTCACACCCTGCATTCTGCATTTCTGCTGCATTTATTTAAAAAAGCCAGTCACAACATACTTGTATCTGTAGATAATTAGTAAAAGGAACAGGTTTGGGTAGGACAGGTTTTTGATGGTGTTTGGATATTCTATTTTTAGGGAAAAGGCAGGTTCAGATAGTGTGGTGGTAATGAAAGAGGCTGATTTGACAGAACTGAAGAATAAAATCTTGTCTTGGGCTGCCTCATAGATCCATCCAGACTGTAACGCAGCCTCAGTGGCTGTGCTTCCTTCTACAGTCATGCTAGTTGAGCTCAAGCTTCAAATACAAGGACCACCCCAAGGGTGAGAGAGGAATTAATTCTTCATACCCATTCAGCATTTGGCCTCTCTACTGAGACTCTCAATGAGAGGGAGCCAATTAATGCAAATTAATTGTGGTAGTGGCTTTTGTGATGTGGAACTAGGAACTGTATCAAGACCATGAAACTTAGTTCACATGGGCCGGTAAACAGCCTTGAAATTGCTTTTATGATCTTCCAAACTGGATTAAATCCATTGACCTTGGAGGTGAAAGGTGTTAGAGCCCAATGTTGTGAGCCACATCTGCCTCTTGTATTTGTATCAAAATTCTTTAGAAATACTTCACAAAAGGCAAAAACCATCAATGATCTCCATGTCTTTGAGAAGAGAAATGGAATAAAAATGCAAAAAGCATCAAGTTACAATAGGGCTCCTTTTTCTTCTTGAAGGAACAGTGCTGCTCTCTGCAAGGGCCAGGTGTGAGCTGGTGCCAGTTGTGTTACAAGAACTAAACACAACCCTTCTTATTTACATGACTGAAATTATCTAATTCCGTTAAAGGATACTGCATATTATATTTATGTCTGGCTATTACATGTTATTTTACTAAAGGAGGTGAAATCTGAACAAGTGTGTAAAATCTCTCTTGGCAGAATAGACTAAAAGCTGCCTAATTCCAGGAGCCTCACAAAAAGGAGGCACAGAGGGAATGTGTAGAGTCTCTGTCTATGAATGTATTAATAGGTAAATGTTAGAAAAGTATTATTGAAGCTTATAGATGGGACTGGTACTAACTTTTGGACTGGTTACTATCTTTTGACTGAGTCAAAAGATATAAGCTGGACATCAATGGATTTTGGATGATTTCCAGCCAGAAAAGTGTGATTTTTAGTGGGACTGCTGGTGGCAGTATTCTAACCTGAGTTACAGCAGCAGCTTAGGACATCTGTGAAAAGAATCTTCTGGTTGCCTCTGGTGGAAATGTGAGCTCCCTGGAGATGGCTTGAAACAACATCTAGAAAAATTTTAAGTGACACTGCTTTGTGTTGATCTGAAGTATCTTCCTAATTCAAACTGCTAGAGAAGTTTAAAACTTTCTACAGAGAAAAGATGGCTCATTAGTAATAGGTCAAAATAGTATATATAGGTTTAGAGTGTAAAAGAAATGTATACCTTTTTGTCCTGATTTTCCCTGAATTCTTTTTTCTTAATTAGAGACCGTGACTACCACCTAAAGACATACAAATCAGTAGTCCCTGCAAGTAAATTAGTGGACTGGCTTATTGCACAGGTAAGAAAAGTTTTAAGATACTCTCTGCTAAGAAACACTTCATAATCCTAAAACTTTCCTTTTTCAATTTATCAGTGGAAAATTTAAAAGTGGTTTGGTGGCTGCTTTTATCTGTGTGCATCTGCTTTCTTTCCTCCTCTCAGGGAGCTATCAACAGTCTTGATCTGAGACCATCTTAATTGCTGGGTTTACACATCGCAAAGCAACCAGCCACCATGATTAGGGCTTTAGACATCACATCATTACCAAAACTAGACAGCACTAATAATAATTTAATGGTGGCAATAGTAATAAGAGTAATAGTAATGTGCTCTGGACATGCTTCTTCGCTGTGGTACTGACTGTAAAGTGTTTCTGTAATTCTGATGACTCAAATGGAGAGACTGTACGGAATAAACCTAAGTTAGCACGTCAAAACTAGTGTATCAAGTTTCACATCTAATTTCTGTATGAAAAGGTCGAGACACATTTTATCAAGATTGATCATTGTAAATGGCTCTATTTTCTGGAGATTTTCATTACTGCATTTATTGTATTTGGACAAATACCTACATAACATTTAGAAGTACTTAGCGAGCTGAATAAACTAAAGCTGTATTTTCTAATTAGAGAATACTGTTTTGCTAGGGGAATGTTCTGAGGCCAAGTTAACTTCATAGGAGTAGCCAAGTCTAGTTTAGACCCTCCTATGCAAAGATTTTGTTGCCTAGAACAAACATAGGCTTCTAAAGGTTTAAGATGGTAATATTAGAAGGCATTTCTTCTCCAGTTTATTTACAGTTGAAATAGTTAATTGGGATTTTTAAATCCCATTCTCTGTAAAATAAGCTATCCATTTATCCCATAAAATAACACAATGTGAGTGTTAAGTGTTGTCTCATGACAGGATGTTGAAAATGAGAGAAGACTTGTGAAGACTTGAAATTCATAATAAACGTTCATAATAAAAGTTAAACTTTTGGTTTCTTAAAGCTATTTTCTTGTGTGATTACATGGTCATGCAGTTCTTTCAGAACTGCCTTGATGCCTTTTCTACCAAGACAACGGTATTTAGTTCTTAATTTGTAAATATTGTATCTTTTTTTGCTCTCAGCCTCTTTAACAAAAGCTAGTGGTGCTGTGGATTGGCCAGAGCTGATTCTGTTCTGTCCTGTCTTTAAATAATGCTGATACACCATAGTGATGGTCTTTGCCAGCATTTGCTTGACAAATAACTACTGCTGTCCTTAGTGGCTTTTGAAGTTGGACTAATGTGCTGCTGGCAAGATCAGAGTGTGCTTGAAACACTTTGTTTTCGCTAAAAACAAAGTCAGTACACTAGCCTGCAGGTGCTGTGAAAGGTTTTGAGTATCTAGTTCTTCAGATAGAGGGGAGAAAAGGTGTAATACTGGTGTAGGATACAGCTTCTTGTTTAATAGGACTGAAAGTAATACACTGAAATTGCTCCTGTTGCCAAAGCAGCAGGTGCCTTCCCTGATGGAATGAGCTGAGCAGCTGCTCTCACTGAGATAGCAGACACCAGATTCCCCGATTCCCCATGTCCCTTTGCTCATCTCGCATCAAGGGACCAGTGTTAACAATCTTTGTAAGACCACTGGGGCCTTCTGATTTTTAGCAGCACTATTTGAAACTTACTTGTCTGCCTAAAAAGTACAACCATGTTTGTCAAGTCTTCACTTGTGGCTGCAAATTAGCAGATATATTGAGAAAACTAGGTATTTCTTGTATTTAACTGACTTGTAGATATAAAGCTTAAGGCTGCTCTTTCAGGGAAGTCTGTAAATTTGCAAGTCACTCTTGGTACCTGTTTTGAATGACTATGCTCAAGGCTTCAGGTAGTGAGAAACAGAAGCCTTTGTAATCTGCTGTATATGCAAACTGCCACTGTAGTTTTAACCTGTCTAACCTTTGGAGTTCACATACTTAGCCTTTTCTCCCTTGAGTTGAATATGGACAGGATCTCTCAGCTTCAAAGGAGGAGTTTTATTGTCTGTGATGAATGGGTCCTGAAGTCAAACATTCTAAATTCAAATAAAATGTCTTTACATTGAGGTAATATGGTATTTTTCCCCAGTGCTGGTCCTTGATCCCCTGGCTCCTGTAGGAGGGAGAGATGCTGTCTGGAGGAATGAAAATGTTTGGGAAATGGGATACCTGTTTTAATGGCTTGCTATTGTTCTCTACACGGATCATCCTGCTAATTTCAGAGCTGCAAGCCATGCGCTGGGGAAGGGGGAAAAATTTGTCTTAGAAAATGGTCTGAGGTGTAACATTATTCTCCTGTTTCTAGGGAGACTGTCAGACTCGGGAGGAAGCTGTCGCACTGGGTGTTGGACTCTGCAATAACGGCTTCATGCATCATGGTAATGAATAAATTTTGCTTTCCCCAGCAAATGAAATGAGCTCTTACTTTGGTCAGATTAGCTATTTTGGGCTGTGTCATACATGCTGTATACACAATTTGCAGGCATTACTGCAAGTCCTTCCGGAACACAGTCCTCAAGCTAATACATGGCTAAGCCTGGTGCCTTCCCAAGGGAAGCCGCTTGCTGATAGTTATGGGAAGCACTGAAGGGATTAGACAAGCTAGACAGAGCATGTTTTTTCACTGCATCTCTTCCAGAGCCATGTGAGCAATGCACAAGCCAAATGCTGTCCTGAAATATCACCAAAAAATATCAGCTGTTAAGTAAAATTGGCTAGTTCTTGCCTCTTGGATAACAAACACAGTCCTCAGTGCTGAGGCATCCAAATCTGAAGTGCCAAATTGCCAAGTTAGATGTCATCCATCCTCAAACAGGGGAAGTAAACAAATCACATCTGTATCAGTATGAAACAGAACATACAAGCCCTGAGAGTAAACATAGTTTGTCAAATGAAACATTCAGTTTGCGTCATAGATAACATTTGCTCACTGTATTTTGAATAGTGTTTCTGAGAGCAGATTATTGTAAATAATTAAGAGACCTTTCATAGTAGTTAATAATAATGTAAAAATCGTTGGGGCCTTTTTTAAAGAATTTGGTCTGTTCTGAGCCTGTGCAAACTTATGGCATTTATTACATTCTTTGTCAAGGAAGACCTTTGCGTAAGTACATGTTGAATGTAGGAGTTGCTCATCACTTGCTGCTTTTATTTGAAGGCCCCAGGTCTCATATTTGAAAAACTGATAAAGAACATTTTCATGCCTTCTAGAATTTTGTAGATCTCATTTCTCTCTCAATTATTTTTTTAAAGTTGAGCCTTAGTCTATGTGAACACTTTACGTTTTAAACTGCCCCTTTACCCATCTTTGCTCCTTTTATACTTTTTTAATATTCATTTGGATGTGGGAAAGGAGCATGAGGCTTGAGTAGCATCTTCCTTCCAAGAGGTTCTTTAGCATTTTATGTAAGTTCTGCATGCCAGGGAAGTTGCATCATGTTATGAGCTACTATGCACTGTCAGGAAAATTCTTGTCCTAAAACACAGAATTAGCTTAAAAATACAGAGCTGAGGAACTGGCTGATGGAGATGCATCAAGGTCTGTGTTTTGTAAAGATGGGGGAAATATTTAGAATTTCCTTTAACTTTCTCCTCTGTTTCTCTCTTTTTTTCTTCATGTAAATGCATATATATTTCATATATCTAATTTTCAGTCCTGGAGAAAAGTGAATTTAAGGATGAATCCTTATATTTCCGCTTTTATGCTGATGAGGAGATGGAGGGCACCAGTTCCAAGAGCAAACAATTGCGTAATGACTTCAAGCTTGTGGAAAACATCCTGGGAAAGAATCTTCTGGTAAGAAATATGGCAGCTGAAGTTAGGCATATCAAAGCCTCCAGGTTTTTAAATGTCTATTTCACAAATGCTTTTAAAATTCAGCAGAAGAATCTGAATACTCCCTTCAAATGTAAATTGGAGAGGAGAGGTAGTCCAGAAATTTTCCATTTAATCTCAAATATGAAGTGATAAATTGCATGTTGTGTTGGGCTGAAACTCATTCCACTTGCAACATTAAAAATCTAACCAGCAATTCAGCTGATTTTCCAAAGTCCTTTGTTGAACAAGCACTACTAGCATTGTTTCTGAAAATACTTAAAAATAGCCAAAATTGGCAAACATAACTTCTAGTCCTTTTACTTTCTTGTGCATCTTCTAATGTGAACATCACCTGATCAGGATTTTTCCCCAGAAATTTTGCTATACATTATTTTAACTTGACTGTATGGGTCCTGCAGGACAGAACTATTCTGGTTCTTGGATTTTTTTTTCTGGGTGATTTCCCATTAGAAGACCTTTTTAATCTGATGTAACTGACGTTAAAGGAAAAATGACAGTATTTATAATAGTTCAAAAATCATCAGAAGCAAGGAAACAATTCTGAGTAATTTGCTTTCCTCCATGGCATGCTAGATTGAGTAGCTTTATTTTTCCTCTTAAATCAGTTCTGTTTTATCAGATGATTCTTAAATACATAATGTTTACTCAAATGCAAGATATTTATCAGTTAGATTTTCCACTTGTCCATTTGCCAGTAGCTAGGCTTTGTTTATTTTTCAGTAATAGGAAGTGAGTTATTAAGCTTTTTACTGTTGTTAATGAACTACTAGAAAAGGATGAATGAAATGTATATTTGTCACGATTGATATGATTTTAAAGAATATGTATAAGGTGGGTCTGTGTGACCTCAGTGCAAACAAGAAGAAGCAGAAATTCAGGAGCAAGAATTAGGAAGACTTCTGTCTACCATGTAAGGTGCAAACTGAGCACAAGGTATGGAGTTGGTATTTTTTCCCTTACACAAAGCCTATGTGCCTGTCTGTAGAGGAAGGACTTATGGATGTCAGCAATTGTCCTATCATTAGATAGAATTATAGACATCAGACTGCCATTATGCTGTAGAATTATGTAGTGTGTAGTTAGATCTATAAAAAGTAGGCCTGAGATCTGCATTTTGCGTGAAACTGATAGCTGAGAAGCATTCAGATCATTCATTATCAGGTAGGTGGGATGTATTCTGAAAAATAAACAAATAACTGCACTGAATCAGTAGTACATTCACCAATGGAAAATACTGAATAATGATGAATTCCGTAATCCAGAAGTGAAAGATCTGTTGAAGGATGAAGGGCTAGGAGTTAAAATCAAATGCAGTTTCTAAAAGAAGAGTTGATTAACCATTGGAAAAAACTCTCAAGGGTGGGAATAGATTTTTCAGTTCTTAAAGACTGCAGATCATACCTGAGTAACTCTGGAAAATCTACTTTAATATATATTAAGTGATCTATGCAGAAATGACTAAGATGAAATTTTATGGATCATGTTTTGTAGGCAATCAGATCAAATGATCTGGTAGTCACTTTCCCTCTTAAAACAGAAGTCCAGATCAGTTGTGGCTTGCAGTGAAAAGTCTAATTTCTCATCTCCAGTCTTCACCTTTTCTGTGAATTCCATATTTATGAAGCATAAATTTGTGTAAATATTGTGCTCTGTTTAAGATTTTACCAGAAGAAGATGACTATGGATTTGACATAGAAGAAAAGAACAAAGCAATTGTGGTGAAGTCAGTTCGACGAGAGTCTTCTGCCGAGGTAGGACCTCACATTCTTATTTTGTTATCTAAGAATGTTTCAATACTTAGAAAAGTTACAAACCATCCTTTTAAAATCTGTTTCCTTTAAAGGCAGCTAATAGAAGGGGGCTGTCTTCTACAATTCCTGGTAATAAGCTGTTTCTGTAAATTGATAAGTGTTTTGGCATTACTGGGGGACTTGAATTATTGGTAAGTGATAGGATGAGAGCAGTATCTGTGTGATGACAGCTTACCTCAGGTTCGTTAGCAACTTTCATTTAAGGAGGGAGGGAAAGTAACATTCTTTTGGGATAGCAAAGATGTTTAATGGGGAAACAAGTTTATTTCAATGGAAGCTGTATTTTTAGATATGTGTTTTCCCTTAAAAAGCATGCAGTCATTTCTCTCTATGGTATTTTTTAGGAGTTCTACAGAATATATTTGCTTCATTTCTTTGAAGCACATAGATGATCCAAATGTCCTAGGATCTGAGTATTTCTTAATCACCCATTTAGCCCTGCAGAATTCTTATGTGAAGCGCAGAGTGTCATCTTCCATTTACCAAAATAAGGCACAGATACATTGCTGAAGCTAAGAGAGGACTAAATGACTTGTCAAGGGTTTCACATTTGCACACAAGACAGAGCTTCTAATTAAAAGTCCTGGACTTTAATGAACTATTAATTAACTTTTAATTAACTATTACAGAATTTTTGAATGTCAGCATTAAAATTTTTTGGTTACTCCTTGGTCTACAAATAACTCCTGGATTACTTGCTTAATGGAAATAGCTGAAGGGGATGGATTGGTTTTAGCAAGTTGAAAATGTCACATGGGAAGGAATTCTGAACTGAAATGGATGTTAGAATGAAATTATTTCAGTATTTCTGATTCTCGTTTCATTTTTGGTCACCAAAAAACCAAACTTGTGCTTTATCTAGTGCTCAAAATCAACACAGGTTGACTAAAAACGTTATTAATCTAAACCTGTGCTTTGAACCATTGCCTGCCAGATAATCCTCTGCCCTTTTTTTTGGCTGGAAACTTGGGGAATAGCTTGCAGATCTATTGTGTTTGAGGAAAATGGCAGCACACCATTTTCTAAGGAATCTTTTTCTTGATCTTTCAAGATAGTCTTTGACTATGAGCCTGTCTTTTGAATTTGATCTAACAATACTGGTCCATCAAAGAACTAAATCTGCATCTTCCTGGGCCACAGTTTCTGTGAGACTAGTACCGTGTGGACCTCCTTTTTCAAGTCAAGAAACTTGTCAGTGGATTCCAGGCAGAATAGAAAAGGATTTGCCACATTTAGGAGGAACCTCAACTGCTGAACCTTGAAATTATATAAAGTAATTATAATCTAGAAGGTTTAATAATTTTTTTTACTGCTTTCTTGATACCTAACACCTAGTCCAAATGTTGCTTTGTTACATTTTAACTGGTAGAGATCATCAAGGGGTATGTTTGAGGCTGTTGTCCAGTGGGCGCAGTAGGGGATCTCAGTCTTGTCATTGCATCTGTGACCATTGCCAAATATCTAAAGTTAAGTGCAAAACCTAGGGATTGAAGTCAAAATCTAATGGCTTTTTAAGCTAATGAAGAGCTAGTACTTCACTTAAAGCAGAGACAGTTCTTATCACCACTTCAAACCAGGTTACATTTGCTGACTGGCTATAGGTTGCTTTTGCAAGGCTGATGGCTGAAAACTGCCCACAGCTCCTGTGCCCAGGGTTTGGGAAGTCAAACTTCTGCGTCTCACTGGGTATCACAGCCACTCTGTCATGGGACCCTAGCTTTCAATTGTGTCCCCCCACCCCTTGTTTTTTATAGTCTCCTATTTTAATAGTCCGTTTAAAATTTGTAACAGAAAAGTAGTAAGATATATCCATTGCAAACTAAGGTACATCTGTAGAGTGGCATATTTCTAAAGATACTGGTGAAATATCTTTTTCTTCTGTAAGTGCAGAAAACTTTAGGGGGAGTGACAAGTGACTTGATGAACCAACACTACTTATAGGGTATTCCATGTGAAAGTAATCCAAGAAATGTCCATAAGTAGGGAACAGTTGAACATTGGAGCCTGAGCTTTCAGTGTTGCTGCCAGTGATCCAAAGTGCTCTGTGGTGTTTGTTCCCTTTGCAGATGGCTGGCCTGCAAGCAGGAAGAAAGATATATTCCATCAATGAGGATTTAGTATTCCTACGCCCATTTGCTGAAGTGGAAACAATCTTATCCCAGTCCTTCTGCTCACGAAGGCCACTTAGGCTTCTGGTAGCCACCAAAGCAAAGGAGTAAGTGCCAAGATGGCCAGAGAGAAAAGATTATTGAGAAATGTCAGTTACTAAGTAGTACTTCTAGAGCTGTAGTGAAACCTGTATAAACACTTCGCTGTGCAGAAGCCACTCAATAGGAAAGCATGACAGAAATGAGAGGTACAAGAGTCACGGCTTGTTTTTAGTGATGACTCTTGGGCTGCTAGGAGAGGTTGGCATGTGTTCTCTTTATACTACAGATGCCTTTTGGTTTCCTTGTCTACAAACAAAATTGAATTGCAAGGATTGACATTCTTTCTCAGGTGTGAAGCTTCTCATACTCTATTATGTGCATGGGAAAACAATTTCCACTCATTGAAGCTTGGCTTATTTTTTGATGAGACTACAAATATCAGCCCTTACAGTTTTTCAGTCTATTATTGTTTCTTATAATGAGAGTTGGCTCTGTTAGTGTCTTGTGTATTGTTAGCATCTGTAATCCATAGAACTGAAAGTCTCAGTGAACATTCGTTGCCGAATTCTAGTCCAGAATGTCTTGTCCAGTCTGTTTTGTTTTTTAAAATTTTTTTAGTGGGAAAAAATCCTCTGCTGGTATAGGTCAGCACAGCTGCACTGAAGTTTGCACAGAAATGGAAGTGAATATAAATGCCTTAGAAAGTCTCTGTCAAATGTTTATTCACTTAAAGATGTAATAAATTAAGAAGTGCCAAATTTTAATTAACAAATAGAATCTCATATCTGCCTTGGGGATTGAAGATGGAGTATATTTCTTCAGGTCTGTTTATTTGTTATTTATTTGTAAACGCTGTGGATGCTTGCTTTCATCCAAACCCACTTGTGAATGCTAAGGAAAGATGCTGTTAAGAACTGCCCAGAACTCTGGCAGCCTAAATGAAAACCATGCTTTCTCTTCTCCATTATTTATCTTCAGGATTATTAAAATCCCAGATTGTCCTGGAGCGCTTTGCTTTCAGATCCGGGGAGCAGCACCACCATACGTTCACGCAGTAGGGAAAGGTAAGTAGAAACTCTGTGATACAGTTAAGCTGGGAATACAGCTGAATAGATAGACGTGTGTATATAAAGTGTGGGTATGTGTGTGTGTATATATATATATTTCAACGAAGATAGATCCAGGTTTCATTGTCTAGCTTGTTCTGTACAAATCCTGATACATTTAGTGACCATAGTGACAAGAACCTGTAACAGACAAGAATCACATTCACATAACTATAGAACAGATTTCCTGCCTCAAAAGAGATTTTCTGCCTCAAGCTGCTTATCGCCTAAATAGATTTTAAGACAAATAGTATCATTCTTTTGAACTGAGTGTTGGGTCTCTAATCCCATCAACACAATACAAGGAATAGTTTAATTCCACAGTGGAAGAAACTTGAATGCTACAATGCACAGTACCATGGACTCTTTAGAAAGCACTTTCACTTTAGCTCTTGCAAGCTAGAAATGGACTTGCTTAGTGACCCTTCCCTTGTTTCTTCTGAAACTACTAAGGTAAAGCTTAACAGCCACAGGGGAAAAAAAGCCCGTAAAACTGAGATGGTTGAGAAAAAGTTGAAGGGTCATGCTGTCTATGGCTTCCTCAATGTTTTTACCTGTAGTCATCCACAATTTGGGTCTGGGTTCTGAAGGTGCTGTAGGATCAGCAGGTTGGTAGACAAGCCGTAACACAATCTGGACATCACAAAGTATGACATAAGACTTGGAGACTACTTCTCCCTTACAGAGGAGATATTGCTACAAGTTGCCAGTATAAGAGGCAAAAGACTCACCTTGATCTTTTTAAAAGGAGAAAATACAATTTGACAGAGATATTTTCTACTTCTGTGCCTGACATATTTACCTTTAGCTACAAGCAAAGCACAGCTTTAACCTTCATGTTAAGCAGATGCAGAAAATACAACCTTTTAGACATACACCAGTTCCTTCCTTCAGTACAAATGAGTATCTCCAGCTGAGTGCAGTTAGTTTGGCAGCACCCACAGATGGTGTTCCCAGGGACACACATTTATTACACCATTTTATAGCAGCACCTGCAACCACTTTTTCACTGTTTGGAGTGCAAGCTGGAAGTTGCAGCTAGGAACATTGTTCTTTTTCCGGATTTTGCCAGGAAAAGAATAGTTACGTTTGACATCATAGTCTTTTTGTGTAGCAAATTGTGTAACATGCAAGTGTTCTGTCTTCCAGGTGCAAGAGGCTGGAACAAATACAACAGTTTGTACTTAAGCAAGACCATAGCTAATGTAACCATAAGGCCAAAAGAGACCCGTATAAGCATCCCAAACAATTTCCCACAGAAATGTAAATTTCTAGCATGAATACATTTAGACCTAGGAGATGGCTGTTTTTGCCAGCACTGCTGAAAACATGAAGGATAGACACATGATATAATCCTTACACAACAAAGCTCTCTGAATAGTAGCAAAGGCATGACAGGACTGACCCAGCTCTTCTTACTTTTTCTAGCCAGAAAGCTTTTGCAAACTTTCCAGTGTTCTCATCCATAGGCAGATGGCATTTCTGTTTAACTTCTCTCCTGTTAATTTTCAGGTTCTGAGGCTGCAGCCGTAGGCCTTCATCCAGGGCAGTGTATTTTGAAAGTTAATGGGAATAATGCAACACATGGAAATTACAAGGAAGTTCTGGAGCACTTCACAGCCTATAGGATCAGGCAGCAGGAAGCACTGGTATGAACACACAACCTCAAAGGAAGTACATTAATTCCCACCTTTCTTCTGCCCTCCTCTGTTCCTGTGTTTTTATGCTCACTAAATAGTCAGAAAAAGAACGTCTACATGTTTGTTTTGACTGATTTGCTGTTATGTCAGGGTCCTGCTATCACTGAGGGGGGCTGATTCCATTTTCCCATAGTTGCAAAACACCTACAAGTAATATGAAAGCCATTTCATGCATACAGTACTGAAAATTATTAACTGTTACTAACCATGGAAGTTTACCCAGCTATTGATCTAAATTTTATGTTCTCTGAAGTTCAGAGAAAACCTGGGGTAATGTTCGTATTTCAGCCTACTTAGAAGACACAGAATTGATGGCTAGATTCACCTCTGTAGTCCAAATATTTGGAGATTGGGCATTTTGAGGTCCTAGCTGAAGCCTGTATCTCTTGAAAGGGGTTGTACCAGTGGGTGTACAGAACACATGAAGATGCTGAAGAGGACAGAGTTCAGCAAGCAGCATCCCCTGCATGTTTGGGCAGTTGCCTGGGCTCCAGCAGAGACAACTCTGCACTAGAAGGACATGCAGAACTGGAACCCCTTCAAAGCAGCCAACAGGAATCAGGTAAAAAATTCTCATGGGGGAAGAAAACCTAGGGACAATTCAGGGGCTTTCAGAAGGAAAACCACAGTAGAAATATAAAGTGTAATTATTATTGTAGAATATCTCTTGTCTTAGCAAGTCTTTGTAATTGAATGAGGTCTGCCAGAGGACATATTTCTTTGCTGCAGTTTATTCAGGGGAAGAAAAAATTGAGATGCACATAGAAATCATGCACCTTTGACTCTCTCTTCTCTACAAGACAGCCAGTTATGGGAATGGAGATAGTCAGCATATTTAGAATCTTTTGGTAGCCCCTGCAAACCATGCATTTATGAGCAGTAGCTGATGGAGAGGGAACATCTGCAAGTAACTCCACCTAAAATAATCCGCATTTTCTGTTATTTTTGATTAAAAATTAGGATGGTAAATTACTTTGATCTGGAGTAAGTCTTCAGGGCATGTTGCCACTGTTTCAGGAAAAGGTATGGGTGAATTTCCTCCAACTTTTGAAAACATAGCTCAAAAAACAGGTCTACTTTCATGTTGAGGGCTTATTCAGAAAAGTAGATGTTAAGGGAGACTACTAAAGCAAAATTTAATCCAAAGGACTGAGCCAGGACTCTCTGAATGCCATTGGCAACTTCTCTGGGAACATATGCATGTGTGTGTGTGGATCCCATGTAAGGTCTGGTGATGCTGGTAATTTCACTGTCACAGAGTGTTCCAGCAGTGGAACAGCTGGAGCAGTGCTGTGGTAGAAGTGTGTGAGCAGCTCCCTGGCAAATCTCAATTTGACTGGAACTTGAATCTGGTCTCTAGTGACAATAGAACTGCTTTGTCCAAAAAAGTTTTCTTCTCACCACATCCCTGCCTCACATGTCAGTCTTCCAGAGAGTTACTGCAGACGACAGGACTCAGAGATTACATACTTCCCTTCCCTTATAAGCTTCTGCTAGGATCCTTGAACAGAACTAGAAGTAGTGTCCTGAGTGTGGATATGTGCACGCATACGTGGAAGAACATCAGAATGGGGATTGGAGCATGTGTATTATCTAAAATTTTGTCACTGTCTCCATTAATGGCCAACAGCGAGTGTCTTCCTAAGAATATTCTCTCAGTCTCCAGCAGCACATAGCTCAAGACATTCTTTGAGCCAATGTGTCTCTGCATTCAATATTCTTCTCAGCAGGTTTCTCTTGCCTGGGCAGGCCTCTGTTCACATGTGCTGCCAGACGTGTCTAATGACTTACTTTGGTTCCAGCCCAGACACCACAGACTGTAATTTCTCCACTGGTCATTGGTGAAGAAACCCCGCTCATCAGCCTCACTGTGGATAACACCCACCTGGAGCACGGGGTGGTATATGAATATGTTAGCAGTGCAGGAATCAAATCCTTTGTCCTGGAGAAAATTGTGGAACCAAAAGGTTGCTTCATTCTCACTGCGAAGGTACGGAAAACCACACATGGTCAGCTTTTGCCTAAACAGAATGAGAAACCAATAATGTAGCTTATTATAGGCCTCTGTGGGCTTGGCTCTTCAGTTGAGGTTCACATTGGTCTTCTCAGCCCTGCTTAGAGTTTTACTCATTAGAATGAGTTACAATAGCTTGTTTGGTATGAGTAATCAGCAAGTGCTTCCAGGACTTCAGCTGTTGAGGAGATGGAGGGGAGCCCTCAGCTGTGGAATTCTTGCTTTTATCTACCTGGTAGCATACACTCTGCTGATATTTAAGATTAATCTTTTCAGGAATTTGCTTTAACCTGCAAGAAAATCAAGCAACTTTTTCCCACCTGAGAAGCTGGATGGGTTGCTACAGGAATTGGGTAGAACTGCTGCTACTGGAAAGCAGCAGCGAGTGCTGAGTGGCTTGGTCATCTCTGACAAAAACGAGCTAATAGTGACTGTTTGTCACATCCCAGTAATGTTGTTGTTATGTCCCATGGAAGCATGGTAGAGCAGGTAACTTGGGCAGTGGATATTTGGATCCACTTCCCTGATTCTAAACATTTTTAAGGAATGGTAGATGACTCTGACTATTAGACACATTAGTGGTTCTCAATCAGTAATAAAGGCTGCTTGTTCTGGAGGCAGCTTTATTCAATCATGGGACTTTGCCTCTCACTGAGTGGAAGAGAACTGTATTTTCCCTCCCTGCCAGGACTCATACCATTGACATCCTGTCTTTTTGTTTAGATTTTAGAGGCCTTTGCCGCAGAGGACAGTCATTTCGTAAGGAACTGCGAAAGGCTCATATCCCTAAGCAGTGCTGTGGCCACCATGCCCCAGTATGAATTCCGGCAAATCTGTGACACTAAGCTGGAAAGCATTAGCAGGAGGCTCACAAGCTACCAAGAGGTACCACACTACTAGTTATTGGTGAAGTCTTGAAACAATACTTCACTGTGTTAAGTGGGTCTTAGTATTCTTTATTAATGAATCCAAACTGTTTCTGAGGTGGGTATCCTGGAGGCATGAGAACAGTTCTTCAAGTTACTGAAATTGCAAGTTTTGAGTGAAAATACCTTGTCTGTAAATCACTCCTTTCTGCTTGTCAGAGCTGTGAGTTAAGACATATTATTTCAGGTTAATTTCCACTGTATTAATGAATAAATATCAGAACAGATTGATGAATGTCTTATTTAACATGAATGTAACTATAGTGTATCATGATGTAAACAAACAAAGAGTATGTGCTTTTTTTGTGCAGTTACCTGAGCTGCTTGAAAAGAGAGTGCTAGGAGGTATAGCTAACTGCTTTCCTTTGTTGTTTTATGAGCTTTTTTTAAATGTGTTATTCCACCTGCAGCAGAAATCTGAATTCCTGGATTTCTGGAGTAGGCAGCAGGAAGAGAAAAGAATTGTCTGTATTGCTTCAAATTTTTTTGAATGTGCAGTAGCACACACCTACTTTATTTCTCCCAGTTTGCAGATGAATTGAAAACAAAGGTGAGCCCAGCCTTCAAACAAGCTGTTATGGAACCTCATTCCCTCAACAGCCTGGATTTCTGCCCCACCAACTGCCATATTAACCTCATGGAGGTATCATACCCCAAAAGCACTACCTCAGCAGGGAGATCATTCAGTATTCGCATTGGACGGAAACCTTCTATTATTGGTCTTGATCCAGAGCAAGGTGATAATTAACTTCCAAGTCATCCTGATTTCATCTGTTTAAAAGGCTGTGTGTTTCCACTGCTCAGCAAGGTCAAATATAAGTTCCAAGGAAACATAGTCTTGCCAGTACCCTTTCTTCTTAAAATTTTATAGTTAAATGGCAACCTTCTTGTGTTGTGAAGAAGTAATGGCTTCAAGCATAGAGGGGCTTCAGGTGCCATTTTTTTGCTAGATGAACTGTTTGGGCATGATCTCATGGTAGTTATGTGGCCAGGGTGCTGTTGCCCTTAGCAGAGGTGACTTGCGGACCAAAAGTGAGCAGGGGCTGATGGCAATGCTAGTGCTTCATTCAGGGGGAAAACTGAAGTCAATCACATTGTAGTGCTGCTTTCTACTCTCATTACTAAGTAAATTCCATGCAGTGGAGTTGAAAGTCTCTACTGTGTCAGGGGATCTGTTATCTGATAAATTGCTGCTATGCAGCATTTCTCCTACAGTCTGGTTATTTATATCCAGCATTTTTTTTTATCATGATCTGACTTAATATGCTTCTGATTCATTGCCTTGTGATGGTCAGAGTGCAGGAATGTTTGGAAGAGGGAACTATAGACTAACCAACTTTCTGAGCAATGGCACTGACTATTACAAATTGAGGTTTGTAAAGGACCCTTGCTTGCTTGGGCAGTAGGATTTTTAATATGAGCTAAGGTAGGTAGCAAAGTACTGCACCAAAACTGTCAGCAATTCTAAATGAAAAATACTTAATTTATCTTCTGTAAGGACAGAATCCTACTCCTTTATATGTATGTGTGTGTGTAAGTGTAAATGTCTGTAGAGCTTGAATAATAGCATTGCCTCATTCGTGAGAAACCAAATTCATTAACTTCTCAACGAATGCTTTTAGAGAGCTTCTAAGTTTTCTGTATGAGTATACATGTGAACATAGATCTTTACTTCCATAATCTAGCCAGTTTCTGAATTGCAGTAAATTCAAAATATCTAGTTAGCATGACAGGAAAAAAAGCCCAACTTCTCTGGGTATTTTTCCAGAATGATTTTGTCATGTAATGTAATTATATAAAACGGTTCAGTGAAATTTTAGTTTTTCCTGTCAGAACTCCACTTATCCTAAATGATCATCACTAGGATGGAGTGGAGAAAGTTGTGAGAGCCATACTAACTAGATCCTTTAATGTTTAGTAGGTACCTTAAATCCAGTCTCATATACTCAGCATTGCATCACCACTATGGCTGCACCATCTTGGAGATGTCCAGCCCCAGAAGATGGAGATCTTGATGGTAGCTTTGGCCAGCAGAATGGAGGAACAATTTGGGAAGAAAGGGGACTCAGTTTTCTGCTGAAACAGGAAGATTGGGAGATGCAGGACTCCTACTTGCATCTTTTTAACAAACTAGACATTGCAATGAAGGAAATGAAGCAGTATGTCATTCAGATAAATAAGTGAGTACAAAATCCTATATGCACTGGGGAAAGAAATCCTTATAATATTGAGGCAGTAATCTCCAAAAGCACATTGTGTTGTCAGCCCCAGCTGTCTGCCTCTTCAGACCTGCCCTTGTATGACAAGTCCTTGCTGTTTGTTTCTACTCCTGGGCAGATCCACTAGTGTTTGTATTACTGTCTTTTGCTTCTAAAAGTCTATCTGAATTTGATGCCACTGTTTTGCTTACTGTATATTCCAAAATAAGAATCTATGTGTTGTCAAGAGCCTTTGAGATTTTGTCTGTCTTAAGGCAGAAATAAGGGTTGAAATGAAGACAGTTCAACAGCTGAAGCAAAAGGTGCATGCAAACAAAGCAAAACCAGGGATTCATTCACTGCTTCCCGTGGGCAGGCAGGTGTTCAGCCACCTTCAGGAGAGTAGGGTCCCATCCTGTGCAGTGGTGACTTGGAAAGACAAACACCATCACTCCAAATAGCCCTTCTTTCCTCCTTTTCCACCCACTTTATATGCTGAGCATGGTGTCACACGATCTGGAATATCCTTTGGGTCAGCTGGGGTCACCTGTCCTGGCTGTGTCTCTTCCCAGTCTTCCCACACACTCCAGTCCCCTCCCCAGTGTGGCTCTACGAGGGGCAGAAAAGGCTTTGGTTTTGCGTTAACTCAGCAGTTACAAGACCATCTCTGTATTATCAGCTTTGTGCTCAGCACGAATCCACAACAGTCCCATACAGCCAATGGAAAAAAAATTAACTGTATCGCTGCCAAAAATAGCACATGACCAAAACTTCACCTAAGTGGAAAGCACATGGACCCTTGGTTTCAACATGTATACAGAAGGGTGGTGGCTGCTGGATAGAGCCAGTGAGCTGAGGAGGAGAAATCCAGTGCCTTGGAGGAAGAAAGTGAGGACTGTCAGGCCGCCATGGTTACAGTGATTATGTTACACCTTATAGAAGTAGAGTACCTTTGGAAACAGGACCTTCTGGTAACTGGGATTCATGGGAATCTCCTGAGGTTTAACAAGACCAAGTGCGAGGTGCTGCACCAAGTCGGGACAGGCTGGAGAATAAAGGGACTGAAAGCAGATGTGCCAAGAAAGACTTGGGAGTGCTGGTGGCTGAGAGGCTGGACATAAGCCATCAGTGTGCACTGACAGCATCATTCAGTCCTGGGCCATCTGTGTCCTGGGCTCAGCCCCACAGTGTGGGCAGCGGGTGAAGCTGGGGGGAATCTGCCCCTTTGCCCTGCTCAGGTGAGACCCTACCTGCAGAGCTACTTCCAGCTCTGGGGTGCCCAGCTCAGGAAGGATGTGGGAGATAATCCAGAGGAGGCCATGGAGATGATCAGAGGGACAGAGTAGCTCTGCTATGGGAAAAGGCTGAGAGAATTGGGATTCTTAGGCTGGAGAAGAGACTTTGGGGTGACCTAATTGCAGTCTTCCAATACCTAATGGGAGCCTGGAAGAAAGATGAAGAGAGACTCTTTAGAAGGGCCTGGAGTGACAGAACAAGGGAGAATGGCCTCAAAGTGAGAGCATGTTCAGATCAGATGTTGAGTAGTAGTCTATGTAAAGTGCTTACAAAGGTAGCTCTGATTTCGCATAGCTGCATTTAGCCTTAGTTGTGACAGTTCATTTGTGGGACTGAGAGCTCTGTGTTGTGCTTCTGCAGACTTTTGTCCACCATAACAGAACCTACAGAAGGTGGTGCCTGTGAGCCACCATCTACTGAGGACACATCCTCACCTTCCCTGGGAACAGAAGAAAGTGATCCTGACAAAGCTGAGCATGGTGGAATCAAGAAAGTCTGTTTCAAAGTTTCTGAGGAGGACCAGGAAGACTCTGGACATGACACAATGAGTTTCAGAGACTCCTACAGGTCAGTCTGAAGATGGTGCCACTTGTACCTTACTAGTACTGTGTTTCAAAGTTCTCATTCCAGTATGGATTCAACAAACAGGTTGTTTTCCAGTCAGTCAGTTATGTAGTATTCACTTAGTAGAGTATTCACTTCACTGATGTATTCATTATATTTATTGCCCTGGAGACATACACAGCAAAAATACTTCCCCCAAAATAATGCCATAATACTAAAGTATCTAGAAAAGTGAATAAAATTAAATAATTAGGTCTAGTGTCACTTTCTGTGTCCTGTAGCCAGAAACTACAGAAGTCCAGTGGAATTCTCAGACTGCTTGGTCTTATAGTAGCTGGTATTAACACTTGGTTCTGCAGCCAATTTTCCTGGAAGTCTAAGACATGGAGAAACAGAAATGGACATTGAGTTTTTATTTTAATGGCCCTTTGAAACCATAAACAGAAATGTTTATTCAGGTGCCTCAAAATCTTTTTGGGACATGATTGACTTCTAGTTCTCCAGGAATATTTGCTACCAAAGGAAATCTCATTCCCAATTCTCTCTATTTTGGGGGGAAACACTTGGAGACTCAGCTTCAGAATAGGTGGGGTAACAAACTGTGGCCATGTCTGATCGCTGCAATTTAACGTCCTTAATAGGCCATTTTTACATTTCTAGTAAGACGATAGAGCTGGGAGGATTCCAGCTCTGAATGAATGACCTGTCTCTGGAATGTTCTCATGAATGAGTGACCTGTCTCTGGAATGTTCCTGCTGCAGTCCTGATGCTTCACTTGCTGTTGTTGGGCACTTGTACCAGTAGCAATAGGTGCCACTGATGCAGGACTCCAGAAGGGGAACAGTTTGTGTTGGAAGGGGTCTCTCGATTGTGCACAGTCCAGTCCCTTGCTCAGGACAGGGCCAATAAGATTGGTTGCTTGGGGTCTTGCCTGGTTCAATATTGATCGTCTCAGAGGACAGCAAATATGAAGTCAATAAAGAAATAGAATGAGTACTTGCAGTGCTGAGATCTGGGGCATCTCTGTTGTGTGAGATTTCAATCAGCACATGTGCTTTGGAGCTTTCTGAGTGAAATGTGCTTTATTTCTTTCCCTGTTAATAGGGTTTCCCGGTAGTTTAAACTTCTGTAATTGAGGCTAATTTATTCTGGGTAGCAAAGGGTCAGCACAAACAGTCTCTCTGGGCTTGTCACTTGTTCCAGAATTCTACACATTTGTTTGAGAAATGATTGAGAAACATTATTCTGTCTTATCCATATTAGACAGAGGCAGACAATTAAGCATATGTTACAGATAGTAGTTACTTGAGGGGGAATGTGTTTTTATGGGTTTTGATTTAAAAGAACATTGATTAGCTACAAACTCAAGCAAATTGTAGATAAGAAAGTATCTTGTGTGCAATAGCCAACAAGGCTTTTTTCTGTGATCATTTTGGAGGTGTAATTCGTAAGGATTTGTATTGCAGAGTAGTTGCCATAAGTATTAATATTCCTGAGTAAAGAACAGATTTCTTTAATGCTAGATTTAAAAACGACAGCAAGAATCCCAATTAGGGTTCTTTCAGTTGCTCTTGTATTTTTCTTTCATCTCAGTTAGAAATTACTTCAGAGGCAGAGACAGTGGAGAATTTTTTAAGCTTTGTTTAGGGCTTGTACCATTAAAACCACTGTCATTGTCACTTCATTGGAAGGGGACAGCCTGAGATCCATAGTCTTTTTGGTTACTTTCAGTAAGAACAGTTAAAGTGAACTTTAAAGAGAGGATATTTGCTGTAGAATTTTCCAGATGTGCATGAGCCAAGATTGGTGTGGAGCTGTTGTGACTCCTCCACTTCATTGTAGGATCTGCAGTGCCTGATTCTCCAGTGAGTTAGATTTCCTAAATTCTCTCTCCCACCTCCAGTATCTGTGCTACTGTAGCCTCCCTATATGCTGGATTTGGATGCTGTAATACCCTGAGAATTGGTAGCAAATGCTCAGTGGAGATGTCTCTTTTCATTATTTACAGAAGCAGGATGATGTGTTAAGCATTCAGTGTTAACTGCAAATAGAAGAAGGCATCCTTGGGCAGCCCAGCTCCAGAGTCCTTGCTTAATGGCTGTTGTACATGTCATTAATTTCGGTCATTTCAGTTTCACAGAGCTAGGTTTGGGGAGACAGTGCTAATAAAGCCGAACAGCAGTGTGGGTGCCTGGGTGTGGGGACAGCCTTTGTTCAGCCCTCTGTGCTCTCCTTTGCAGTGAGTGTAACAGTAACCGGGACTCTGTGTTGTCCTACACCAGCGTGCGGAGCAACAGCTCTTACCTGGGCAGTGATGAGATGGGATCAGGTGAGTGTGCGCACAGGTCACAGGCATCCTTCTTGTGCCCGGCCGTTCAGCAGTGCTGAGAAGTCTTTGCTGGTTATAAGCACTTGTATATTTAATTTGCACCGATGGTCTCTTCAAAACTAATCACAAGAACATAAAGATACAGATTTGCCTCTTTCTAATAAACCACAGTAAATTTGGAACATGGGAGAGGTATTAGGCAGGGGTAAGTTTCTTTAGTTATTGGACACTTGCATAATATGAAAATAATGAGTATTTTGGCCTAAGAATTGGAGATAAAACAGCACTCATTATTTACTTCACACCAATGTGAAGATGTGCCCATGCCTCGTCATAGATCATGTTTGTAAGTTCAAAGCTTTTCGTTTCTCCTGTATTAGGAGATGAGCTTCCCAATGATATGAGAATACCTTTAGACAAGCAAGACAAACTTCATGGCTGTCTGGAACACCTTTTTAACCAGGTATGTAAAGCATTATTCTTACACAGAATTGCTTTCTCTTTATCAATGTTAATCAAGAAATTTTAAGTACTAAATTGTGCTATGAAATAATATTTTGAGGAACGCATACTATCAAGATTTTGGGGTATACAGTAAGCAAGTATATTACAGGACAGTTTGATGAATCACATTTATCTGTGTTATTAAAGTTGCCTTGTGATTTAAGCAAGGCCGACTTGCCCTACCTAAGGCTTAAGACTAAGGGAAAAAAAGCTGTCATAAAAAAAAGGACAAACTTCAAGTAATTTGATGAAAGTGGGTCACATTTGCAGATTTCATGAGGTTCTCACAAGTTTAGCATGCAGATGTGTTTATAATGTGTAACCACAGAGATTTGTTTGCTATTCTCTTACCTCATCAGCACGTAGATCATCATTGTGCAAAATGCTGTTGTTAAATGTTAATATTAAATTAAATGGCTCTTGAGGCCAGTTCATGGCTACAAAGTCTGACTGCTATGTGTCAGTCATTCCAAAGTACAAATAGTGTAAGGGCTGTGGCAGTTTCCAACAGGAGTTCTGTTCAGATTTTCTTCTGCAAGTCTTACTGACACTGATCGATAATGTTCCAATTGTAGGTTGATGCAATCAATGCACTTCTGAAAGGACCAGGAATAAATAAGGCCTTTGAGGAAACCAAGCACTTTCCCATGGACCACAGTTTGCAAGGTAAAGAAATAGATTGACTGTTTAATAATGTGATTTCCAAGACTTCAGAGCTTAACATGAAAGCATATGTGCTATGGCCACACAGAGATCCTTAACTCTGCAGTCTACCCAGTCGTGCATTAGGCACATACCATGTCTGACCACTGAAATTATTGAATCTCCAAGAAGTAATTTTTATGGGCAATCCTCCTGAAACACACAGAAGCCTCTTTTGTCACATGCTGCTCAATTCTCGCAGCCCTTTCACAAGTTTCCAATTTCCCGCTTTGCTGTGAACGTATTTGGAAGGGTACAAAAAAGTAAGGATAGTCAGATTCAAGGTGAAGGAGTGCTGTGATAAGCTGATGAGGCATTGACTACTGAACATCCAAGGCAGCAAAGGTTCTGCCTCAGTTTGCTTAATGATTTACTCTGCTTTTCTTCAGATGGATGATTGCCAGAGTAAATTCATCCTCACATAACACTTATTTTGAAAACTAATTCCCATAGAGAGCAAAAAGATGATACCATACTTTCTTTTTCCTCAGGGAGTGTGATGATTTTGGTCTTGATGGTCTTTTAGGGCTCAGGATGTTTCTTTTCTGCCTGAAATACACAGGATTTTATTTTTGAAATATTTGCTGCATTTCCTTTCCCACTTGAAAGCTGAAATATTCCCTACTACTCCTGCTGTAGCTCAGGTGCTGTAGGAGGTGAGAGCTCCAACCTCTCGCAGGCTCTAGTTTTTAGTTACGGTGGCAAACTCTAGAACTAGAGATATTTTCCTACTCTTTTTTTTTTCTTTGATTCCAGAAATAACTCCTGTGAAGTTCTGGTATATGTACTCATCTCTATGAACACCGTCACATTTGTGTAGACTTGAGGAGCATCTGTTAGCCTTTCCATTCACTGTTGGAATGAAGTGAAGAAATAACAGACGTTTCTTTTACTTTGCTTAAACAGAATCTCATTTAATAAAAGTAGATTAATTACACTGAGAGAGTCCTTTAATTAACTGATCACACTGAGGAACAGACAAGCCCTGCCTACACTCAGATGGAATCTTGGACCACAGTGTCTATTTAATAGCTACCATAGCCACCTTTTTGTGATGGATGGACCTGGAATGCTCTTCTGGTCCTGTCCAGGATCAGTTATTTGGCATAATTTTTTTTGTTCTCTGTTTGCTTATGCACTTCATCACAAAAAATGAGGTGTTTGGCTTAACTACATAGGTAAGCTGTGGAGAATAAATTTTCTACTCTATAATTAATAGTTAGCTTTCATTAGGCAAAAGCATTCTTCTCATCGTACAATGGGATGTGACAGTTGCAGCCAAAAAGTAGATCTTATTCTCTGGACCTACCCAGTACAGCTGCCTGCAGGTCATTAAAGGCAGAGGAAGCAGGGGTTCTTTGTCTAGTGAGTGGGGCAGAGCTCCCCGCACTGTGCATGTCATCCAGGCCCACAGTCCTGAAAGCAGTGCAGGGAGACTGCTGATAATGGGACCATGGGTTTTTGCCCTCTCTGTTAGTTCTATTAAAGGATCTTTTGAATTCTCAGTTACTGCCATTGGTACTGCTTATCTGTTTTCATCTGTATTCACATTCTAACTCCTAAGCCATTCTTAGTTATGTGGCATTTCTTAAATGGCTAACACACTCCATGTTTTCTAGAATTTAAACAGAAGGAAGAAACCACAGTTAGGTGCCGGAATAATATTCAAGCCAGCATTCAGGAAGATCCATGGAACCTTCCACTGCGCATCAAGAACCTTGTTGACATCATACAGAAACATGTGGAAGGTCTGTAAATAAGGAAATCTTTGTTACTAGCTTCAGGGAGAAGAGATCTTAATCAAACCTAGCAGTTGATTTCATAATTTTAACTCATTTTGTAATAAGGCTGTCCCAGGCTCTAGAGAGGACCAGGTACAGCAGATTATGGTTTGCAGAGTCCCGGTGCTTTATGGTAAAATGGCACCTGTGCAGCAATTCCAGAGAACTTTTCCCCCCTTACTTTATTTCATCAGCCCGCTCAGATTGATGTCAGACTGATCTATCTTCCTGTGCTTTTTAAACCCTTGTAGAAATTGAAGAGAGAGATGTTTGGTATATTCCAAACTGTGAAGTGAATGCTAATCAGATATTACAACATCCTAAACCGCTGCAGTCTGGTTGAACTGAAACAGGAGATGAAGCTGAAGTTTACAGATCAGTGTGAAGCACTGAATAGTAATCACCTCCCTAGGGTTTCATCTGCAAATGCAATTTGTTTCCAGTAATTCATGGTAGTTAACGGATCATGTAGCCAGTAAAATTCTTTGCTACACTTAGTTTTTTTCAGTCATGAACATGTCTGTGCACGGGGCTATCGGAGTAAATAGACATGGCCATGCAGGTGCCAGGCATTTGGGGGGAATTAGGGAACTGTTAACCAGCTGCAATCACATGTACCATGGTATAATGTTGACTACAGCATTTCTTTTCTTCACTGTTTTAGATGGGAAGAATCAGCTTCTTTTGGCCTTGTTAAAATGCACAGGTAAGGGGTTTTCATTTTTTACAAAACAACTTACCCAAGAAGTCCCTAAGACTGTGTTTTTTAACCAAAAAAAAATACCCAAGAATTCCCTAAGACAGGGTTTTTCTGTCTTCATTTTTTCCTTTGTACAGTCCTCCTTCTCAGACGGAAGAGAACCCTCCTTCCCTTTACTCTTCCTGCTGTGGTGAGAACATGCAGCAAAAATTAGATCTATTGCACAACTTTTTTGAGCCCATGGACTCTGTCATCATTCCAAACAGAGCAGGCATACTGAAATTACAGCCAAGAACAGATGAAAACCTTACATGTGCAAGGAGAACCCAAATATACTGGAGACATCAGGAACCTGTTACCACATGCTAAACGTACTTGCAGAGCAAGGGACAGGTCTTTACAAGGAACCTGGGCACAGTCTTCTTGTAATTGTAGCACTTGGAGTCCTTTTGTTTGAAAATAACATAATATGTAACTGGAAACTGGTGCCACACTTGATTCTCAAATCTTCATAGAACGAAGATCAGAGATTTGTATGTCTCTGACTTATCTCTCAGCCTCTGCCAGGGCTAGTCTGTGAGTCTGTCCAATCCATGCTGTGTGCCAGTCTACTGACCATAAAGGCTGGGTTTTGATAGCAGATAAAATGTCTCCCAAAGTGTCTCTCTATGGATGCCCCATCTCCTGCAGCATTACCATGAACATCCGCTGGAAAGAAGGATCATTGCCCTTAAGCTGAGAATATGGCCCAGGGCCTGGAGTGTGTTAGTCAGTCTATTGTGTTCAGTGCTTATGAAAATAATCCAGACCTTCGAAGCCTCTGAGTGATGTCTTCAGCTTCTTTACCTTGGGAGCAGTGCCTTGCCAATGAGAGGCTGCTGCAGCACTGCAGAACGTGCTGGAGGGGCTGGGGATGCCTGGGAAGTAACTCTTTACTTATTCATGTGCCTCTCTGGCCTGCAATCCCCTGAAGCATGACAAGATTGATTTGACCAGCATGTGGATGCCTGGCAGGCACACTGGAAGCAAAATTAACATGGGGGAAATTCTCCCAAGAAACAAACCAATTGGTACCATATGGATGGGCCCAGTTAATGTATTAGGCATATGGGATGCCCACAAAATACAGATGGATGGGGGAAGATTAATCTCTAATAGCCCAGGAGAGAAGTAATGGTGGGGACCTTCTTTCAATAATTCTCTTGCTCCTGTAAGTGTAAAAAGAAGGGAATGGCTGTAACTAAGGAGCTAGTTACTTTCCAATAGTTAGTTTCTTTCCAGTCAGAAGGAGCATGCAGAGGGAATAATGAAGAGTCAATTGGACTAGAAAATTTTGCAACATGTGCATGTGCCAGCTGTGCTGTCTTTATCTATCCATCCAGGTCACATAGCAAGGAGGGGTTATCTGTGAAGTCATTGCAAAGCTACAGCAGAAGCCAAACATTATGTGCGTGCGCGCACACACACACACACACACACACATAAACTGCTTTGTTGGCAGTGAGAAGGAAGATGTGTGTATTCATAACTTCTTTATGCTTCTCTCCCCTTCTCTGACAGATACTGAGCTACAACTGAGACATGATTCCATCTTCTGTCAGTCTCTTGTGGCTGCTGTTTGCACCTTTTCGGAGCAGTTACTGGCTGCTCTCAACTATCGTTACAACAACAATGGGGAGTATGAAGAGAGCAGCAGAGATGCTAGCAGAAAATGGCTGGAACAGATAGCAGCCACTGGAGTTTTACTGAACTACCAGTCTCTTCTCTCCCCCACTGTGGTAAGAATAAGAATTGTGGTATCCTTGAGTCTGCTTATGTTTGCCTGTGTGATTCTCTGCCACTCAGCACAGCCAGAGCTGTTGTACCTCTTACCTGCATTCCAGCAGCATATTCAGACTCTCACTACTGCAAACTCTGGGGATTTCCACAGCTGACAGCCAAGTGCCTTATTCCTTATCTAGGCATATTCATCTCTGCACAAATGCTGGACCCATTGTCACACTAGAACACTATAGAAAACAGTCAGCCTTCATATTTGGAATAATACTACTGCATTTAGAGAGCTTTTAGTGCCCAGCTGTTGATAGCATGAGTGTCCTCTGCCATCCCCTGGTGAGGACACGCATCTCCCAAACGGGTGAAGAAGTTCTGAGTATTGCAGGAGTTCAGCCAAACAGAGTTCAGTCTCTCTCTGTGGTGAGAAGTCTGTGGTGCTGGGTCTTGAGGCACCAGGTCTAAGGAGAGGAGCCGTGCATGCATGGTTAATTTGCACCTAATGAACAGATGAGCCCCAGCTACAGGAGATCAGCTGCTGAAACTCTAAAAATGCTAAGAAAAGAGACGCATAAGACAGACAAGTAGCTCTAATATTATAGAGAAGGGAGGTTTTTTTCCTCTTTGTAGACATTGTAGATTGAGTGTGGAGATTTTTTATAAAATACAGTCCTAACTATCTATGTGTGTAACTGCTATTTGTTTGCATTGCATAGAAGGTATCAATATTTATTTTGCAGGAACTGATAAGCTGTTCTTTACATTTGTGAAGTTTGGAGAAAGAGATCCTTTCAAACTTACTCTGTTTTTAACCCTCTCGACTCCGTGAATCACATCAAATGACGTCTTAGCAAAGGGTGGTTATAGTTGTATCACAGAGTTAAAAAGCTGTTGGTAATTTTCTAGCTGGGATGGAGCTAATGGAAGGCTCTGCACTCTACTTTAAGTGTCCTGAACCAAACCATGCCCCTAACAATAGTACCTTCCTGTCACTCATCTTCTGGCAGATAATAACCTATTTGTGTCGGTTGCCTTGCCCTACAGAAGGAGGAGCGCACCATGCTGGAAGACATCCAGGTTACTCTGGCTGAACTAGACAAAGTTGCCTTTTTTTTCAAGCAGCTGGATGAAAGTCTTGTAGCAAGTGAGTATTCCCTGTTTCTTTGAGGCACTTTTTTTTTTGGTATGTTCTATGGACTAATATCCTCTATGATTGTAAATCTAAGAGACCATGTCACACCGGGAGAGCACTGGGCAGCTTCTCTGAAGCACTGCTGTATTCCTTCAGCTTCTCTTGCAAGCACACAGCCCCTAAAGCAGGACTGACACGATGGAATGGTGGTGCATGTTCTGTGCTGTGTAGCTGTTGCCCGTGCCATTGTGCCTCATCTGTGTGATTTGGGCAGGGAGAGGAGATATGACAGAGAATTAGCACCATGCTCGCTGTGGTGAATTCCCAGCTTTTCAGTGTCCAGTGTCTTACCCTGCCAGATCACTCTCTTCATGTCTACTGGATATGAAATGCCATGAAACAACATGGGATTCTAATTATTAACCATATTTACTGTATTTGGATCAAACATCATACTAGGTCACACTATGATCTTTTAAGTATAAGATTTCAGAGCCTGCATTCTCTCCATAAAGACTCTCCCTTATTCACCTTATGGTGATGTGATATGTCATTAGATAATTTAACAAACTCAAATAGCAATGGTTTCACAATTCTTCTGCTGTGGTAAATCAGCAATTGTTTTATCTTTATTTCTCCAGATACTCATGTCGTCTACCACATCGAAGGAAGTCGTCAGGCCTTGAAGGTTATCTTTTATCTTGACAGCTACTACTTCTCCAAACTGCCTGCTCGGTTTCAGAATGGGGGAACCTTGAAACTGCACACAGTGCTCTTTACAAAAGGTGGCTATAAAAAGCTTTCTTGAGAAAAATAAGCTAGCTACTGATTTTGAAAGATTAAAAATAAAAAATGACCATGAAGCTTTTAAAAAAGCAGCTGAGACCTGCAGACTCACTTAGGAACCAGATATTTCTATTTTAGGGCCCTGGGGGAGTGCTGGACTTTAGAATTAGACACAGTCATGAGAACAAGATGTGCTTGTTTGGGGCTTTTTTATGCCTCAGCCATAGAGATATTATACTGGACTATATGGATAGTTTGATCTAGTGTAGGATTAAGAGATGTGCCCAGGCTACAGAGAAGTGTTTTAAGAAGCGAACACCGTGACAGAATCATCTGAGCTAGAAATCAACTTGATAAGCAAATATTCACACCAAAATATAACACAGGAAATTTCTTTCAAGGGACCACCAATGGGGAGTAATTGCTGTCAGACAGAACTGCTTTCTGTGAAACTCATCTCTGTGATGCTACCACTGTACTCCCATACTGGGAAAAGCATTAAATTTATAGACTGACAGAATCAGCCTTGACATGATCCAACAGTCATCTGCTGAGCAATGAGGCGATACAGAGTTAAATAAATGAATTTAAAAAAAACACTAATAACATAGCTTTAGTAAAGTGTTTTCTTCTTCAGCTCTGGAGAGTACAGAGGGGCAATCACAACCAGCTGGTTCATCTCTAGAAGAACTCCCACAGCAAATTAATGGTGTTTCACTCGAAAAAGTGCAGCAATACTACCGTAAACTCAGGTATTTTGTACTTCTGCTTTGCCTTAAAAGACATTGACAATTTCAGAGCACTCCTTATTAAGGGCCTTAAAATTTAATGAAAAAGATGTTCCATTCCGGATGAGGTTTTTGTACAAATAGGATTTTTGGAGATCCTTATTGTGTGGGAAACTTAATAATTTTTTCCCAATAGATTAGCCCATTCAGAAGGAATGCAGATTTGACCTCAGAGTTTTGTGCAGAGCTAGAATTATATTGTTCTTATTTGGGGATTTGGAATATGTTAGTGCAGACTCTGTAAAATACTGCAATCTCAATGGTTCAATAAGGAAGCAGATCTTCAAGTGCAAGATTTTTAGCATAGCCTTCTCAGCTGTTTTATACAAGATAGTATACATATATGCGCTTGAAGTGGGGAAAACCCAACTAATGTAGTACCTACTGGCCTTTTTGCAGGACATTTTACCTAGAAAGATCCAACTTGCCCACTGATTCCAGTACTACTGCAGTGAAGATTGACCAGGTATTGTTTCTGTGCTTATTTCTGCAACAAATTCTCTCATGGAAGTATTATTTCAACTTCTCTAAAATTCCAGTTGTTGGATATCTGTATGGCAGATCTATACAAACACAAACAGCATTTTAAAATATTCCCGACCTTAAAGGGGGGGATCTGAATTTCTCTGAAGCTTGGCTACAGTTCTTTTGTTGAGAAGAAAGTGTTCAGGGTAGACACAAACCCCCTTCGCTGCAGCACTAAGGAGACTCTGTGTGGCCCTGCCTGCCCTTGCCAAACATGGTGTCTGATGCCAGACAGAATGGGCTCATTTTTCTCTCCCACAGATGCATGAAAACTAACAAATGTTCAATTTGCAATTTGTTACTCTTTGTTCACTATGTACACTTTGTTGCAGAGAAATCAAGAAAATAGTGCTGCCCAGCATCTCACATGTAGGCAGTCTGTCTAACGGGGCAGGTGATGTGCATATATGCATGTAAAGCATTAAAATGCTACTGCAGGGAACGTCTTTGCAATTGTAATACACATTGTAAACAATCTGTGTGATTTGTGATAAAAAATTGTCCCAAGCATAAGTAATTTTATTTTGACACTTCCAAAGTTCATAAATATTGTAAATAGTTGTTACTGTGAGGCAATTACGCTTGTCTAGAATATTGTGCTTAGACAATAGTATAAAGACTTGTAAATGTCTTTATAGCTTGGTGTTAATATGCTGTGGATTGTTTTTGTATTGCTTTGTTTAGCTTATTCGCCCTATCAATGCAATGGATGAGCTTTGCAGGCTGCTGAAGTCTTTCATTAGTACAAAGCCAATGCAGTCAGGATGTTCCAGCAATGCCTCATCAGGAGCTGGCCTGCTTCCCATATCCTCTGAGCTCTGTTACCGGCTGGGAGCCTGTCAGATCACCATGTGTGCCACTGGGATGCAGAGGTGAGAGAGGGTTAAACCTGTGTGCTACTGCTGTGATGGCAGCTTCTGTCCTTTCTAGAGATGCGATCCTATTTAAAGCAATATAAGGGAAGTTTTAAGAGAATGTAATAAGGATCTAAATCTGCTGCCGTCTTTACTTCAGGATAGGTTGAAACTTTTAATACTTTTGTCAATAAGTAGTATTGACACAAAAAATTTTGTGTTTCAATGCCTCATCCAATGCAACTAACCAAGTGATCTTGTTGCATAGAAGTTGTAGTCAGCATTGTCTTCAGTTGCACACTGAAAATGTAGGAAGTTGCTCAAAAATAGCTTTAAAATATTGGTGTTTATGCACACGTTGATTTTGAAACACACCACTATTCTGCCAGTGTCTCAAAAGTAAAGATTAATTTGTGAATCCCTTTAAAATAAATCAATGCAGAAGAGCAGTGACACACAGCCTTGTAGTAATGATGTTGGAGACGCAAATAATTGCCATATCCAGGTGCAGCAAGACTGAGGTCATTTAATAGTTTTTAATGTAAAAAAATCTAAAGAAGTAAATAAAAGTAAATAGCTAATGGAAGCAATACTTAACAGGTAAGTGTTCTGCACATTTATACTTTCTAAGCCTATTTATATTTTCTAAGCTATGATCTGTGATTTCCTAACTCTTGTTCCCTTGTTCAGGAGTACGCTGAGCGTGTCCCTGGAGCAAGCAGCCATACTGGCCCGCAGCCATGGACTCCTGCCCAAGTGTATCATGCAAGCTACAGACATCATGCGAAAGCAGGTGAGCGTTTGCATGTGTCTGCTGCATGCCACCGTTGTCCAGTGACATCATGGTGCAGACACCAGTTTATTGTGCTGTGGCACGGTACTTTGTGCACTGCAAACCTGCAAGTCCCAACTCCTACTAATGGCCGAATAACTACACCTGTGTGTGAGACAAACAAGTTAACTTTTATATGTACAGCTTCTACAGCAATTCAAACCTATGCCTCAGTGTATATTGTGTGTGCCTTGACAGAAAAGAGAGAATGTGCAGAATATTTCAGACAATTTCTGTACAGAAAAAAAACAAAGTCTCAATCATAGTGTTAAATTAGCAGAAATTACCTAGTGCTAGACAGCACTGCTTGTAAAGTAGTTTGGGACTAATTTATCTTTTAGGTTAACATAGATGATAATTGTATCCACCCAATGGATTCCAAGTATTTTAGAAGTAGTTAATGGATTCTCAAATAGGAACCACACTCCCATTATAATATTTTTTCCTAAGGATCATTTGCTTTATCAATACTGTTGGTACCAAAAATTCTCTGTTTCCACAGGGACCAAGGGTTGAAATCTCTGCCAAGAATCTGAAAGTGATGGACCAAATGCCACAGCATGCACCTCGGTAGGTTATTATGTATTATACATTTTCTCTGAGTGCTAATTTTGTTTCTGTAAAAATTGTGGAGTTCCTGCTGTAACCAAAGATGATCTTAGTAGCAATACTGGAAAAAAAGAAAAAAAAAATCATTCTTTTTTCTCCCTGTACTAAACTAAGTACACACTATAGATTAATCACGTTTGATGCTTACAATTTACAGATCATCAAATTCAAGGATTTCTGCATTTTCTGAATCAAACATAGCTGATCTTTTTTGGACTGTTTCTAGGAGTTGGCAAAGCTAGTGATGGTCAGTCGTCTCTGGAATGTTTAGAAAGAAAAATTCCTGAACAGCAAATTTGACTGCAGATATGCAAAGACAATACAGTAGTGTACTTACAAGAATCTGATGGTTAGTTCTGGAAGAGCAGGTTTAAGAGCAAGCACTTCCAGTCAGAGTAACCACACAGTAACGCAGCCCTAAGGAACCTCAGTTTCCCAGGGTTATATATGGGTTTGTCTAGAAGGCAGCTTTGAAAAGTACTGTGCATTTGTGAATCCCACTGCATCTAATGGGAGATAGAGATGTTCATATCTCTCTACAAGAGAATAATACATTTACTTTTAAGTAAAGTATCTTTGGTCAGTTTCTTCCAATTTCACCTCTCAGAGAGAAAAGAATGTTCTTCAATAAACTGTATGACAGCATTTTCCCACAATGGCAGTAACAATTTGTCATGGTTTAGATGACGATATATACGGAATCTGTCTGTACAAATACCAGAGAAACTTCTGTTTCTGTTGTTATTAACGGCAATTTTTACATTAAGGCAAAACAATTCTGGCACCAGAAAAGGTCCAGCATCTGGCATCAGCAAAGGTCTAGCAAAGTGTGTGTCATATCTTCAGACAGAATAAGTGTGTTTGCTCGTGCCTGAGTCCTCCAAAGAGCACATTGGTTCAGTGTTAAGAAAACATCCTTAAACACTGATATCTTATTTGCCCATTAAGACTTCTGAGTTAGTCTATATTAGCCCTTCTTTTAATTTTTCTTTTTTTTTCTCTCCTGTCTACTCCTCAAAATGTTTATAGAAAATTATTTTAAACTTTAGAGACACTGGTGATGTTCCCTCTAACAGTCTTGGTTCATTAACTCAGAGATATTAAAAAGAGTAGAATTTTGCATTTAGAACCTTATCCTTCTGTTAAATTTTAATTGCTATTTCAAAAACAAATAAAACAATGGTGTTGGCTCCTGTACCATGGCTGGGGTGCCATCCATCAGTGTTTTGGCAGTGTAGGTATTTTGCCATATTAATGGCCACACATTACTTTGGCTCCATTGATATGGCCATAACCATGTTGCTTTCAAAAAGAAGCAGTTTTAAAAACAAATCACAAGATCAGGCTTTTTTTTTTCTTTTGAGTACACTCTAAATCACAGTGAAAAATTCCAGAACTATTTACTTGGATTATTTCAGGACAATAAAACTCAGATATGTGTGTTCCTACTGGGTTCCATCATAATGCAAAACAAAGCTCAGTGAAGTTAAAAGGACATCTGGTGAATTAACTCCCAGGATTATATTTCTTAATACAAATCTGTAATAGCTGTCTTGAAAGAGAAGTTATAAAAGACTTGAGTTTATTCTGATGTAAAGAAGAAAAAAGCCAAGTAAAAGCTCACCAAAACATACGTGAATGACAAGTCAACATGTGCTTAGTGGTCAACATGTGTTTAACCACTATTCTCAATTTGTTAATATTGTGAGTCAAAAATTTCTCTAAGATGATTATTAATTTTAAGATTTGTTCAAGCATGTCAACAAGCAGATATGTTCTTTTATGTTTTTGGTACCCCAGCCTGTATGACAGGGAGAACTTTTTTGTTCAGGAAAAGTGCTGAACTGGGTTTAAAATCAAAAGAAATAGAAAAAGAGAGAAGGGACTGTTGAAAAACCAAATTGAACCAAGGTTAAGAGTAAGTGATGGAGAGTCTCAAATAATATTGTAAACAATGATTGTAAATGCTTTAGTTAACAAATGGTCAGTGGCACTTCTAAACTTGCAATCACTAAGATTAACAGTAGGAGTATGCTTGATACATCATTACCACTAAAGCTTGCAGAGTAACAAAGAAGCTGCTGACCTTGTATGTGAATCCAGTAACTTTGTCATTATCCCCGTGATCTTTAATTCCCCACTCTTCCTCTGCACTAAAGACTCTATAGGTTGTGCCAGCCACCTACAGAAGGGGATTTGTAGGAGTAAGAGGCACCTCCTGGCAGCCCCACGAGAGCGCTGGGCTCTGAGGAGCCCTGACCGAAGACCCTGCAAACCGACCCCGATGGTGCTGCTGTGCTCTGGAGGAGAGGGACCTGCTGGCCCAGGCGTCAGCAATCTGCCTCTGAACTCCTGGAGCCCATGCAGGATCCATGCATTTCTTTGACTTCAAATTCTTGAAACAAACACACCAGACAAGAATGGATGCTGCTGCCATTCAGATGCCTGGAAAATGACCATTATGCTTCAAGAAAGCACAGTTCTCTTGGTGACTTGTTTGTGCAACCACCAGAAAGTTGTGGACTTCAAGATACGGCTTGGTTCAGAAAATCCTGCTGGACACCTCCTCTCTCTCCCTGTACTGCCCCTGGCCCCCCTTTAACTGCCAGCAGGTTTTGGTCAATGCCCTTTAGTGGTAGTTTCATAAACCCCACTTTTTCATCATCTGACCTGCACTTGAGCAAAGAATAGCACAATCTATGGTTTAATCAAATAGGAACATAAAGAATTTCTTCTGGAGTAATTTTCCACTTCAGCCCAGTGAGATAATCTCTCTATGCTGCAGAGTATACATTCCGTAATACTTCTTATCATTACTTCATTTTACTTACTGTAGCTTTCAGGTTTTTTATTAACACTTTTTACTAATGCCCTGTGATTATATACTCTGGAATCAGTGCTAATGAAGAGGAGTATAGGATTTTTACAAAAACTTTACAAAGAAAAAATACAGTCTGATAATCTGATTATTTCAACAGATGTAGTTTGTAAAACAGGTCAGAAGAACTATACTTATTTATGTGGAGCGGAATAATATGTGTTTTCAATCATGTTATTATATGTACAAGATGAAAATAAAAATTATATTGTTTTAAATGGGACCAATATAATGGCAGTTACACAGCTACTCCCAGTTTACTGAAAAAAATCTACATTATTTAAAATCTTCAATATTTAAGTAGTCTTTAATACAGTTATTAAGATGTATTAGGGGTGCTTTTAAGTTAAAAGAAAAAAGGAATCATGTATATAATGTTCTTTATTTTTACTTGTTTGAAAAATTGTTCTTCATTCTGTCAGTATTACCTTAAGCACTGTAGTTATTTCCAAGTTACTGGCTGAAACTAATCAAAGCATGTCAGCAGTCTCAGGACAGAAATAATGTTCTTTTGGAGTGAGTGCCTTAACATGACCAGCCCTCCCTAACATAGCAGGTGTGCAAGAAACTCCCCATTCCTGTTCCTCCACAGCCTCTTTTAAACCAGCTCCCAGTCAAGGAACCCAGGAGCACTTTGCAGTAATGTATATTTTAGAAAATAAAGGTTTGGGGGTTTTATTTGTGTTGTTGTTTGTTTTTTAGTGGGCTTAATTTTATTTTGTTAACATCCAGAGCAACTCAAAAACTAATGGATGTTTTCATTTGGACATGAAGGCCTCTCTAATTTTTCTAATCTTCTCTTGAACACAAAACTGTTTATGGCAAATTGGTAGATGCAGTTTGTTCTGAATTTCATTTCTTAATTTTTTTAATATGTGTTTTCCTCTCTCACAGACTGACGTTATTTTGGGGAAGGAACTTATTTTTTATTTTCTCTTTTTTATTTCTCTTTTCTTTATTTCTCTTTTTTTATTTCCTCTGATCTGCAGCAACGTGTTGCAGGGAACTAGGACAGCCTATGGACTGCCAGCTTTGGCGTACAGATTTGGTACTGGGTGTCCATTCTGGCACGCAACCAGATGAGCGGATCTCTATTTCAATGCACTTTTTGTTAATTTTGGAAAAGTTACTCTTACCATTTGCTTTTTGAAGAAAAAATTGATGTTTCTTCTCTGAATCCAGAATTTCAAATGAACGTAGTACTGTAAGAACCATAGGAACCACACCCCCTGGGTTCTTTTTTACTTTACCCCAAAGTAAAAAAGGACCCGTAGAGTGAGTCCTGCCTGGGTCCCCATCAGTTGTGTTCTGCAAAATGGCCTGGGCAAGATCCTGGCCCATGCCTGCAGCCTCTGGCAACTTGACAGATGCAGAGAAGGGTGTCCAAGGGCATTTACACTGTGCACTATTTTACACTGAAATGTATGTGTTATTCTCACTTAAAACTTGAGAGACGTTTTTATTATTAAAAGTTGGTTTATATTATAAGGAAAGAAGGTTGATCTTATTTTCTGTTATACCTGCTGGTACTTTTGCCCTCCATTCTGTTGAGCAGTTTTAAGTTCTGATATGCTTGTATGGCATGGGGAGCAGTCAGAACTTTAAGTGACAAGGGGAAAGATGGGTTTGATTTCAGCTCAAACTGACAGTGTGGAGCTGAACTCTTCCTGTTTGTGCAGTCCCCTAAAGCTGTGGGGGAGACCACAGACTCCTGTTAAGGTTGAAAATAAAAATGGTTTGATGATGTAAAATTGTGGCGTTTGAACCAGTGCTGGGAATTAACAGGTTCAAGTGGAAAAAGAAGAGGGCAATGCATGAACCAACTTGCAAGCAAAGAGAGATTAGGTCTGCAGAATTTCCAGGGCTAAAAGTGAAGAATCAGGCCTGGCACAACAGAACAAGTGCAGATTTTGTAGATTTGGAATATCTCATACAGTGGAAGTGTGGAAAATGTGCAAAACAGTCAAGATGGAGAACATGGGAACTATAGCAGCTTGATGATGAGGTGAGTATGGTTGGGTGGCAGCTGTGAGTGGAATTCCTTGCGAATCTGTCCCATAACTGAGTTTGCTGAACATTATCATTAGCCCCTGAAGCACATATATTGGCAGGCTGGGGTGATGCTGATTTGAGAGACACTAATCTTGCAAAGGATCTTGGTACACATACAAAACAACGCTGAAGGACTTTGAACAGGCTGAAATTAGTAGGATTAGATTTTTCCACACAAATATTAGTTCATGCTGTTGAAGATTGAACAAAATATTTTGTTATATTTCTTGTTAACTGATAATAAAAGGACCATGTCATAGAGTTTGTCACAAGATGACACAGAGGCAATTTGATAGAATCATGAAAGCTCAAGCCTGGACTAGGAAACAGGTGGTCAGTTATGATGGAGAAGTATTCAGGCCTCTCTGCTTTGTTCAAATAAATGAAAATGCATTAGCTAGGTATTGAAGAAAACAGATGGTTTATAAGAAAATAATAATGAGAAAGGTAAGGACAGTTCAAACTGCACATAAATACAGCCTGAAGGAGAAAAAGTGGTCAGGGCTAGATATTGGCTGAAAGTTTTCCTTCCATCAGGCTTTGACAAAAAAAGAAATAACTTGTGCGAAGCATGTTGTAAAGGCTGAAGCAGTGCCTAGGGCAGCAGGAGAGCATGCAAGCTCTCTTCACTTCTAAGATGGGTTCTCTGAGGAGCTGAAAGGTGAGAGAGGTGAAATTGGTAAGCGTAACACATGTAGGCTGACTGTATGTAGTCAACATGCAGTACACTCCCTTAGGTGGAGTCCTGGTCACCCTTAAGTTTACAAAGCCTATTATTTGAGTGAGCAAAATTGAGCAATTGAATTAGCTGCAGAAAAAAGTAGTAAAACCCATGCGTAACATTTGTCACTTATTGCACATGATCATTATAATAATCTCATCGGGGCTTAAGATCTACTATCGAAAAAATTACTGATATATTAATGCAGCTTTTCTTAACATATCCTATAGAACCAGTCAGCCATTGGGTTTAATTCTTACAACTTACATATCAAAAAGGTAGTTCTTTACCAAAGGAATTTACATCCAAAAATCTGTCCCAATTTTGGAGGGTGTTGTAACTCTCCCACTTCCTAACAAGGGAAGTTAGCAGGTACAGAGGGTCTAGACAGAAAACCTCCAAAAAAACCCCAGCCTTTCTGTTGCAAGGCTCTGGGTCCTGGATCAAATCCTTAACAGATTGCTCAAACTCTGTCCATTTCAAACTGGATTAGAAAAAATGCAATAAACCTCCCGATTCTTACCCTTCTAAAGTGTTCTCTGTCCTGTTCCAGCATGTCTCAATAAAGCTGTTTCTTTTCTTTAGGACACACTTTCTCCAGCTCTCTCACCCACTGGCAGCAGTGAAAGCAGAGAGCAGTGCCTCTGGCTGGTGTGAAGAGAAGAGAGTTACCACAATTTTTCCAGTCATCCTGGAGAAGCAAAATTGCTGCTAAATAGAGTTGCTTTCACTGAGCTGCCAAAGCTCCCTTGGAGCTCTTAAACAGCCCTTTCTGGTTGTCATGATTCACTGTTTGAAAAATACTTCTTGCCAAAATAATGACTCACTTTGTAAAATGTCAATTAATGCCTTGCAGAGTCTGCAAAAAAAAGGTGTGTTTTTAAATGAATTAGGATTAAAATTAGTAATTAATGTTTGAATCAGTGATTATTTTCTTGATCCTGCTTAAAATTAAATTTAGTTATAAGCACTTTGAAGGCAATGCAGAAAGATGCATTACTGTTTAACCAACTTTAAATTACTTACCTAATTACTTACATGAGTGACAGTCTCATCTTGAGATAATTAAAAATAATTAGTATGGCTTTATCACAGTTTTAATGTGCAAAAATGAAATTCATATTATTAGAGGTGCTTGAGTACTGGGGTTTTTGATGGGATTTATCTGCAAATTATTGCATGGAAGTTAATGTGGCCATCAGTTCTATTTTTCAGGGAGCTTATTATACTTTTTGGAAATAATAAGGAATTTTAGAGCTGGTACAACACATGGTGTGTCTTTCTGCAAGAAATTACAAACCTTGAGCCTTATTTCTTCTGCCTGCTTGGGTGAAGATTCAATAAATTCAGTGGAATCAGTGTTACGGGGTTGATTGCAAACCAGCAACAACCAACAGGTTTGAGCAGAGAATGCAAACGCAACAGAAGTTTTCAACTTTTTAAGCAGTAGTTTAAAACTATGAAGTAGGGATATATTTCACCTCTGTATGGATGGGAAATGAGGAAGATGTAATTCTAACTTAAATGACTGCATTAAAATTGCATTGAAATTCTTGAGTGACAAGAAACAAAGTAGTTTTCACTCTGGATGGGTGTGATCTGCACTACACTGCTCACATCTCTCTTGGGATTTGCCAGGACTTGTTCAGCAGTGACCTGACAAATGGGATAAGTGGTGTGGTGAGAAAAAAAAATTATAAAATGTCATTTAGGATAACAAAATCCAAAGGCAATTGAAAAAAGCTGCAAAAGAATGTTGCAGTAATGAGTGTCTGAAATTATTTAATGGCAATAAAATGAACTATCAGCAACTGCAGAGTATGGGTCACACAAAATAAATCATTAGGCACTGGAGGTACAAAGTCAGGTTTTAAATTTGATACCCAAGCTTTGGAAAATCATTCAGACCATTCCCTGGAATCTTTAGTTCAGCATTTTGTGACAACCTAAAAGAAATTAGAATTGTTGGGAACAGAAAAGAAACCATAGCTGAATACCTTATTAATTGCATGGTGCCTCTGAGTCTTAAACACTACAAGAATTATTATTGGTTTAGGCGTGAAACACTTTTGAATCACCTTGAGAATCTGCACACAAGCAATGTGTCCATATTGTATGTCTTTCTTGTGTGTGCCACACAAGAAGGCTTTTACCAGCACAGAAATAACTTCATATCATGGCAGTGTAGGCATTATCTGACCTCTGAACAACCTGTACTTCAAATTTAGCAATTTTTCCTCCTAACTTTCCTCTCTGTGTATACCCCAGAAAGGTTCTTGATGAGAAGCTCTGGATTTCTCCCTTCATCAAGTGAGTTTCCTTTAGTTTGGTTTTTTATAACCATTAAAAAATGTTGAGAATACTGTTTAGAATTTGCCTTAATAGCTGAGATCAGACTCATCTGAGTCTGGTCTCAAAGTGATGAAGAAAACCCATAGGAAACCACATATTAGTAGTTAAGTTTTATTCATGAATACTCATTAATTTGTGAAATACATTAAATCTCATGGAAATATCTGTGTAAGCAGCAGTAAGTAAAACCCCTGCTGGTTTCAACAGCCTTATTCAGACATAAAATCAGGCAGGAGAAAAGATTTCATGACAAGTTGCCATGACTTACAAAACCACAGTCCCATTTACTATGTCTCTATTTGATAAAGGCTCTAGGAAACTTTCCTGTTTGCAATTAGTAATGTAATTAAAGCTACAATTTTAGCATACCTGTGCATTAATAATCCATAAAAACTACCTCAGCTGTGCATTTACTGGCTGATAAACAGCCTTATCCCTCTCTCTGTGTGGAGAAATTAAACACAGAGAAGGTAAATTACCACATCAAGATAGAAAAGGAGAGAATGAGAGTCATCTTTTCCTCAGATGGAAACTTCTTCTGAAGGTTGCTCGTGATCAGCAGACAGTCAATGCAAGGCTTTTCTCCTCCCAGAATAACCAAATACCAGGTAACCATTAAAGTTGTATAAAGTGTTTATCACAGTCAAAAATCTACTTCTGGATTCATGTTTAAAGAAACTCATTAAAGGACAGAGTGCACTCTTCCAAATAATTAGATGTGCCCTCTTCCGTGTTAGATGTGAATCTGAAATTTCCATTGCCAGATTCTAAAAAATGGCAGGGGCTGCAGAATTAAAGCTAAAAAATCCCTTACAAGCAAAGAAATCTCCACTATCACTTTACAATTATGCTGCCTATATCTACAGCTGCAAGGACATTGGGAACAGTAGCCCAGATTTGCAATACTGTCTGGTGTATTTGGATCCCCTAAAGGGAGAAAATAAGTAAATATTCAGTTAGCTCCACTGGGATAATTTGGATGTTTTTGTCAGCAGGACATTTCCAAACCCATCCAGTTATACACAGCCATAAAATAATGAGCTTTCCAAAAGAGATACATATAGAACTCAGCTTTTTTATGTAAGGATTCATCAGCCCCTGTAGTGATGACACAGATTAGTTGGGTGCATTGCCCTGAACTGGTTCTCCTGGTGCTGTCCTTTACTGCAGTTGAATGACACTCAAACAGGCAAAATTGCTTTTCTTGCCTCTGAAAGCCAGAGGAAATGCAGGGAATCCCTCCTAGGCTCTCTCTTTCTCCAAATGAATTTTCCCACTTATTAATATAATAATGAGTAATAAGAAATGAGTAATAAGCAAATACAGCCTAAGCAGTCACAGGAAATTGTTTTCAGAAAGCAATTTTTGGTCGATACAACTGAATGAACACTATTAAGGGTGATTATTAAAAATTTATTTCACTGTTCATATCTTTTTCTTGTTATGTCCTTCCCATGATTTTTTGCATAATATGACTCCACAAATATTACTCCGTTGTTCATCTGGACAGGACACAGGTGATGAACCGCTAGAGAGACTTCTCATAACTACCCTCAAAAGTGTTAAATCTCACCAGTTTTAGACAGACCATAAAAATCTTCAAACATATTAAGAGCTTTCATGTGTGTCCCAGAACTGATACACACAATAAACTGCAATCTCTTTAAAACAAAACTCCTCAAGACAGATTTTAAAGACAGGACAACTGTCCATTCCCACTCCTTTCCCAGTATGGCCTGAATATATTCAGAGTGCTATCACCTGTAATGGAAGCTGCTTCTGGTAGGTGCTGAAGGAGGATGTCTTTTCCATACACTTCAATTACATTAAAGTGGCAGCGGTTTGGGATTGTCTAAATATTCAGTTATTGACTGGCCTGAAGCCAGGATTTGTTTCTCAATTTAACCTTATATTCCATTACATTCACTACAGTCAGCACTTAGATGGATTGCATTTTGGAAGATTAACTAGAAGTCAGATGGTAACGCTATATGCACAATTCTCTCTCTGAGCAATCTCTTACAGTTCATCAGCTCTTGTAATGAAAAATACTGAGGAAGATAACATTCTCTGAAAGAGCAGATTGAAAAGGATTTTAATAATCTGATTTTTTTTCCTCTTTTCCACAAAACAATGGAGAGCATGGGACAGCCAAAGGGAAGACTGAGACATTCTTTGTTTCATTTCCTGACTGAAAACACCTAAGAAATGATTGCTTCACAAAACCATGTCAGGATGCATTTTTTCCCCTGGCATTTAAGCCAGCTTCTTCACAGAAGGAATCATCACTTGATATTAAAATTAAAATCACCACTAAAAGATCAATAGCTAACCCTGCAGCTGAATCTCATCCACAGGAACTAAGAAACTTTTAGCTAATTTTTTTTTAATAATACATCTCTATTGAAAGCAGTAGAAGTATAGTCAGTGTAAGGGGAAGGAGATTTTGGTTCCCTTTATTCAGATCACCCGATATACAGCTGCTTCAGTCCTCCAGTAAGCACTACAGCATGATTTAATGGGGGATGCTATAGAACAAAGATGAAAATACGCCAGATTGTAAAAATAATAATTTATTTTCTTTTTTTTTCTAATTATAGTTTCTTCTCAATGTTTTGTCTTAAATGGAAGATATTTTTAATAAATTACTCTTTGCAGAGCCACAAAACTTCAACAGTTTAGACATAGGACACCCATGTGATTGATACATCTGGCAACATGGAAATCCTTCTCTCTTATTTAGTCTTTCCCTCGACAGAACTTCTATAGAAACCAACAGATTCCCCTTTGTTTAATTTAGTTCCCTGAAAATATCTTTCTTTTATTCTAGATGCTGCTTGGCACAGCAGTCATGTATACTTAAATGTAAGGTCAAATGGGGGAGCTTGCCTGAGAGATGGGTGTACACGTACTCAGAGATTTGATGCTGCAACTGAAGGAAAGGGCTCCAGCCTTGTGGTTCTGGTGTGCCCTGGGCCAGATGTGGCACTCATCCCATTTCTCTTGAACTGGTTCAGCTTGCTAACTCAGCAGCAATCTCTTCATTCTTTTGGTGGCATGTGTTCTGCTCAGTTAGCAAGCTGAATCAGCTCACAGCAGGGTCCAGCAAATCACCACAAGGTGCAGGAGAAAAGCAGGGACTGCAGAGCAGGAGAAGCACTCTCTCCTCCTCTCAGTACTGTGTTCTCCATGGGTGGAACTTCACTCTGAGATACATCAGGAAAACCCAGAACTCACCTTTCTGGAACTCTGGACACAGACATACACCTAAGTAAAGAGTTTGCTGATGGCCAATTGAGGCGTAGAGCCATAAGCACTGCCATTACTATGAAGGAGGCCAGGCTGTTACCGTTGCCAGGGGCTTATCACACCTTCCCTGGTGCAGCTCGGAACCCTCCAGCTGAACAAACAGCTCAGGTCAGTACTCTCATCTGCTTCAGTGCAAATTTGGAGGGCTCCTTTTATCTCTCCCTCCGTGAATGCTGTTTGGTAAACACAGGCAGACTTTGTCACAAACTGACAGTGAACAGATGGGTAACGCACCCTGTCAGCTCTGTCTGCACCTTCTCCAAAGGCATACTGAAAACTGCTGGTAACATCCATTATCTTTTGCATAGTGATCACAGCCACCAGTTTTAAGCCTCAGGGAGGGAAAGCTGAAAGGATACAAGGAAATGAGGGGGTTCAGCTAGATGAAGGACCCTGTGAAAAGATTATAATGATTCCTTTTTTTCAGCAGAAGGGAACACTTTGGAGCCTACCACACATGATGGCTCTGTTCTGTTAAGATAGCTAGAAAAGTGTAGGCTTAACAGTAACCCTGAAGGTTTCTGGTTTTAAACACGAAAACTTAAGATGAAAATCACTCCTAGTGTTCATTGGTTTCTGCCCTTTGACTAAGAGCAGCAGGCATTGTAGGAGATAACAGGAAAACAGGTGCAATCTTTCACTGACTCACAGCTCAGCAAGATTGGGAAGTGTTTTTTTGAGGTGAGTTTAAAGATTAGTTACCAGTTTAGAAGTGAAATCTTTTGCAACTTCCATTATTGATAAGGCCAGAGAGAATTCCTTTGTTAGTGGCACTATATCAGATCAGAATACATTTTCAGATGCTGTCAGTGA